TCTTTCTTTCTTTCTTTCTTTCTTTCTTTCTTTCTTTCTTTCTTTCTTTCTTTCTTTCTTTCTTTCTTTCCCGGTACTACCGACCCTATGGACCAAGTAGTAGTGCCGCAATAGCATCAACACAGGCATAAAACCTCTGGCACACATCCGGTTGCGCCAGATACGCCGACGTCTTCTCCTTGATGATATCCTCATGGCTCCATTCCTCCAGCGGAACATCTTCAAGGCCCGTGACATCGAAGCGGAAATACTTCATCCAGTTGCGTTCGATGAGAGCAGCGTGATCGACTTCGAAGCGTTCGCCCCAGCCGCGAGCTTCGGCCTTGCGGTCTTCGACGCTATTTGCCATTTCGGGGATTTCGCGGCTGCGGTCGAGGCCGACGCCTGTGCCGACCGAGACGATGATCATCATGTCGTTTGCGTAGCGGAAGAGCTTGCGGCATTCGTAGAGGATGTCGCGGACGGGGTTGTTCTTGGTGGTGCCGTGGTCGACTAGGCCTTTTTCTATCACGAAGCGTTGTGGCACAGCTTTTTCGGATTGGATGTATCTTGGGGCTGCTGAAGTGGCTTTCATTGTTTGCCATATAGGCATGTCTGGTTCCAGATCTGGGCCTGTGATGCGCCGTGTTTGGTATGAACGTATTAGTGCTGCTCGGTTGGTGCCTGGTTATTATCAGTACGGTCACTACACGAAAGAGAGCATACTGCTAGAGTACGTACCGATATCCATTTGTGTTGTAATGGCAAATCTGCATATAGCGTTAGACATTGTATAGAAAGGCAAAAACGCTACTTACACATCGCCCGAATCCGGTCGTCCGTCGAGCAGAATCTCGTCTGGGTTGCCCAGCTCCTGTCGGACAACACTCTTGATCGCATCTTCCAGCGCACTATCATCAACACTTCGTACTTGTGCATGGGGATCCAAGTACTTGAAATAATCCCTTTTGTTTGCAAACACCTGCTTCGCAATTTGCTTATAGGCTTCCCTAGCTCGGTGGGCCTGCATCTGAAGCCGGCACAGCATAATGGCTATAATTCCTCCCAGAGAGCATCCTCCCGTCAAGTCAAAGATTTGGTGGCTGTCTAAGCGCTGCCCGACCTTGACACAGATTGCATTAACAAGTGATTCGACCAAGAGTAAGGCAGACAGTCCTCTGATACCGTCACCGTCGATTGAGAGTAGGATCTTAGTTTCTCTGGTGCGTGAAAGAATTGTCTGGGCTGGTAGTACTGGTTTTGATGATGGATCCCGAAGCGTGGGATCACATGGAACTTCTGCATGTTGAGGAGGTGACGGGTGGCCATTTGCATGGCTGTTGTGTATCGGAGCCAGCGGAACAAAGTTTGGAGGACCAGCAGGAGCCTGATTTGCACCATTCTGTACTACAGACCGACTTCCATAGGGAGATGCATAACTAGTGGAAGTGTTTGGTAATGGAGGCGTACTGTGGTCGCGTGGCGACGCTGAAACGGCATGCTCAGCCACAGTAGACGGCGAAGGGGTCACCAGATCAGCCACAGGTTGCTTGATTAGTGCTGGTGGAGGTTGACTGTGAGGATAGGCTGAAGTCAGTGGTGGCGGGCCCGTTGAAGGAGGTGGAGACGGCCACGGAGAATATTTGGAATATGGATCCCGAGCGAGTCGCGTCTCGGCTTCCTCAGCAACGCGTCGAATGTCTGGATCCCGAGCCTTGCTGGGCCATATCAGCATGAGCGGGCGAGGATAATGTTTGTGAGGCGCGACATACTACTTGACATAGCTAACATCCCAGGGCTCCCAGCGGCCAGAGAGGAGAAACTGTATCGAGGAGGGATATGCGGGGTCGTGGAAGTAGTGTGTGCCCTCTACGGGAGAGTATCGGACACAGCTAAAGTCCACCAGAGCCCACGACATTCCGCTGGTCTTGTTACTTGTATGGCGACTAGGCTTCTGTAGCGTCAATTAATCAGAATTGAGGTAACAAACGACCTTGTTCTGAGCTCAACGAGAGTAGCGGTGGGCCGACAGCATGCCCGATAAAGATGCAGTAAGACACTAGCTGCCGGTGAGTGCTGGGCGGTTGATCAGGACGAGACAGCCACAAAGAGGGCGTAAGTAGGACCAATCAGGCAGAGTCAAGCGGCGCGCGTACAAGGTTTGTGGAGTGCCAGCCCATTGAACGGTACGTAAGGGCATGGGTAGTGTATCTGCGACAATGCGGCCGCGTTTGACCGGGCAGATAGGCTGGGCGATGGCACTCGGCAAATGGCGTGGTTAATGACATTGCGAAGCCGGGGCGGAGGTGATGGCCAGCTCATCCCTGCCTGGGCCTCTGCCGGGCCATGGCCGAGAGGCGGCCTTGAGATGTTGCCAGGTTGGGCAGCCGGATACAGCCGCGGTGGATGATTGATTCGGACGACTGATGGCATTTGCTGTGTAGTAGAGTAGCAGACGGACCAAGGCTGGTAGCCTAGTGAGTTGGCGGCGTTGACAAGGGGCCACGCCCCCGCGGCCCGTAGCCGTACCGGTTGTTCGGTTAGCCGCCCCTCATGACCACTGTGCTGTCCTCTGGTGCTGCTGCTCTGGCTTCGATCTCGCACACCGCATGCCAGCCTTGAGATCTGTCTCTATTTAGTCGCTATCTACTTACCTTTTGGGCACGCACGACAGAAGACGTAGCAGTGATCGACTACCGCCCCAGAATGGTCACGTGACGCCCTCAGCGCATTCCCGCGGCTAATCTTCCAGCCTGCATAATCCTCACTTGTTGCTGTGCACAACTGACTTGCACGTACGCATCTGGTATTCCGGCTACGACTGTATGCTACAAAAGCATGGACATAGTCCACTTGGCAGTTTCCAAACACCCTGCCACGCCAAACCCCGTAACGAGGTCGTGGGATGCTTGGCGCTGCTTGACTACAATTGCGCAATGATGGGGCCCAGGGCAGGCCAGGACCAATCGCGTTACTTGGCTATTTCAACCGCAGACTGTTCGTGATGGAGTCATGTCCACCACCGTACCAGAACCCGGCCCCCGGACTGTAAACGCCGTATGCGTTGGCGCACTCACTCCAAGAGCAGTAAGAGCCAGGAAGCGTTTCGACTTTCCCGATCGCGGATATGCTGCTGTATCAAATTGACGATGAGGCTCAGGAAAACAAGATCTTGTCCCTGCTGTAGCTTGGAAAGGAATATTGGTTGCCGGAAGTATTGCAGGCGGGAGGAAGGATTGCCGAAAGGAGCAACCAAAATGAGTTGGATGCCTGGTTGAATGCGATTCAGCTATCCAAGTTTTATCATCTTACCAGACAACCATGACGCTACATCATACGACAACTCCCTAGCCACCTGTGGGGGAAAAACGGTCTTTTACACTTTTGCCCAATCACGACTCCAAGGTATCGGGTGACTCTTGCCCTAGCCAAAGCTCAGAGAGAAGCAGGTGAGACAGGAAAGCAAGCCGACTTCCGCCAAACACACAGTCAGTGTCAAGTACAGGTCTGAGAGGTCGGTTGTGGTTCCGAGCTATAACATTTGGGTAACATTTAAAGACCCAGAAGAAGCGGGGAGGTTAACGATAAGGTAGTCTTGCGACACGTCTCCATTTGAGGACACATCCGACGCCAACAAAGGCATCTTATGCGATACAACTGGTGGTATTTAAGCCAAGGGCTGGTAAGTCCCTATACACTCTTGCTCATCAAGTAGTTCCTGTTCCTTGTACGCAGACCAGTCAACGTATACCGATCCAACACTGGAAGATACCGTGGCTTTTATGCCGATCAATGTACTCATGTAAGCCCTAGTTGGCCTAGCGAGTAATACCTCAGGACTCTATATCCACAGTGCATGTGGTGTCAGTACGCGCTTGAGAGTTGGGTGCATAATTTTTCATCACAATGCGGACTCAAAGCGCGGTTCTGCATCCCGTATACCGTTTGTACACGTACAGGTGCACTCATGCAGGTGGCATATGCAGTTAGTGGAGCGCGTTGGCTTTGTGTCCACATTCATGGTGTGAGAGCAGCGGGCGGATAGATATAAGAAAATCCAGTCGGTACAAGGTACTAGTAGTAAGCAAAGGAATGCGTCAGACACAAAGCCAATCGCCCAGAAACTTTTGTGTCCAGTAAGAGAAGCGTTTCACTTGCTGAGCTTTAAAGCCGCGCTCTAATCGACCTGTAAGCTTACACCTCATGTGAAACAAATGCGTAACAACGCCCAACTTTGGTTTTCGAAGCATATTCATTTCTCGCCGAGTCAATTCGCTATGAAGACTCTAGCTTAGTTTGTTCATGCAGCCCATGCTCATTTCATATCATGAGCTCCGAATCCCACAGAAGATGAACCGAATGAAGTTGAACTCCGAACCAATTCACATGCAGCACATTTTCCAGCCACTCATAATCTATGCCTTCTCAGCAGCAGCGGCCTTGGCCTTGACACCCCTGGGCTTTGATGGCTTGTCAGCCTTGACGGGCTTCTGGCTCTTGCGGATGGCAGAGGCCCTGGCGACGGCGTCCTTGCGGAGGTCGGGGCGGTAGTTGCGCTTGGTAGTGGCGTTGACAATGGCAGAGTAGGTCCTAGAGCCGTCAGCAAAACTCCCAGGGTATCCCCAGGTATCCTCATGTTCGGCTACCGGGGTAATAGTTCGAAGAGACGTACTTGCGGGTGGACTTGCTGGGGCCGAAGGTGGTGGTCTGGATGGCGGATGCGGGTTGGTGGTGCTTGTCGGCCTTCTTGGTGAGAAGAGTGACACCACCCTCCTTGCCGGGGATGACACCAATAGCCTGATTCACATTATCAACACCGTCTTCTGGGTTATCTGGTGTTCGCGCTTCGCGTAACCGAAGATCGTGGTAGGCGTACCTTGTTGGCGATTGAGCCCTCGTTCTGCGCAAAGTTAGCAAAACACGGCCCAAAATCCGAAACTGACTGCATACCTTGCGGCTGTAAAGGTTCCTCAGGTTAAGAGGATCGCGCGAGAACTGGACGCCATTTGCCCTCTTGACGAGTGTAGAGCTGCGTCCCTCTGCCAACTGTCAACGCCTATTCCTCCATCTTTCGTATACCAGTTTCTGTTCACTCACTGGTAATCTCCCAGGCAAGGTCGTGCGAGATAGTGGTGGCCATTGTGTCTGTATGGAATGTGGATACGGACGATGTCAATGAAAGTTCGCCAATATTGAAAGGTAGGGCCTCGTCTGCATTTCCGCATGCGCTTAGTGCGTGTTTCGGGGATGGATCAACATAGGCGCCGACGCCGACGCTACTGCCAAGCAGCGGAGCGGAAGTGACGACGCATGAGCGTGAGGCGCAGCCTAAGGTTCAGGCCGTGACAGCCGAAACGTCTTGTCCGCGACTCCGTTGTCACGCATCACCGTCGTCCGGGATAACCGCATCTATGTCCCTGCCTGTGGCGTGAAGACCCCGCGTCTCCGCATTACCCTCATAGCCCATCACACATCCGTTTCCTTTGTTCTTTGTCACCTCTCTCACATCGCGTTCCTTGCAGATCGATAGAGCATACTCGTAACCATCCGCTCTGTCGCATACACCACAATCCCATCACCAAATCACAAGTACCATCGCCAATATGGAGTACCTATTCTACTCGGTCTGCTTCTTTGTCCTGGCCCTTGCAACAGGTACTTTCTTCGCATCCCACCTCACTGCTGGTACTAACACCCCACAGCCGCATACTTCACACGGCACCGTTGGATCCACGTCCTACCCATCCCTGAACCCATCTACTCGCGCCTACCAACCTCCTTCCGCGACGATATCGAAGCAGGTCTATCGTCATCAGCATTTGACCTCAGTGGCAATGTAGAATCTGGCGACTCGCGCCAAGGCCTAGATGACGCGGGGAAGAAGGAGGTCATGCGCATCATGAAGCGACAAGGCGTCGACTTTGACGAGGCGCGCAGAATATACATGCAGGATCGATTCAAGAAGAACAACATTGGAGCCGACGGTATCCCCCGCGATCCAAAGTTTGTCAGCTTCTCGTAATAATGGGCAAGGACGTGGAATGGGGGCGATGCATCACAGGACTATCTCGTACATCATTTCTTTTGTTTTAAGTCTCAGTTTGACAAGTTACTGCTTTTCATTTGTTGCCTCGAGTGGGCTAGTTATATGCGGCTTGGGATGAGCAGACGTACGTGGATTTGCGCATATGGGTTTAAGCGCCTAGTGTCTTTGCTTTCTTTCATTTCCGTCTCGTGTTCCTTCTCCTCTACTGACTTTTACAGTGTTTCCTCAATTAGATCTTCATATGTCTCTGCGCGAGAATTATCCTACTGTGTACCTTGCTTTCTACATGTGACTTTGTGCTCCAACGTCGGAGTAGCGTCCAGGGATCGACACCGGGACGAACTATATCGCATGCTAGTGGTATGGCTGTAGGCTAAACTTATTACTGATCCCTAGTACGTGCCTGAAGCATCTATGATGGACGCGCCGAGGGCGCAATGCCTCTGTATGCAGCAATAGGTCTGTTGCTGCCTGTTCTTACACCCGATCATTACTGTATCTACCTAGGTGCTTGTGCATAACCTGGAGGGCCTCCAAAACCGGGCGGAGGGGCCCCAAAGCCTGGTGGTGGAGCTGCAAATCCCGGAGGGGGAGGGAAGAAATTGGTTGGGGTACCGCTCGGTGGGCGAGCAGGCAGACCCGTTGGAGGAGGAGGGAGTGACGGGTGGCCGATGGGAGCAGCAGAGGGTGGTCTGCCATAACCTGCGGGTCCGTTGGGTACAAAGCCAGGAGGTCCGCTCGGTGGTCCATATCCTCCTGGCCCGCTTGGCGCGCCTGGTACACCTCTTCCATCTACAGGCATAGCTGGTCCCGTTGGAGCAGCGCCTGGAGGAAGCTGGAAAAGATGTGCTGGTAGAGGCTGAACAGCAGGCGCAACTCCGTGAGCCTTGGCTTGTTTAGCAAGCATACGCTCGGCTTCGTCTCCATGTCGCTCGCCCTTGCCATCTTTCTTATACGCGTACTGAACTGTGATCTGTTTGGACATGATGTATTGGTTGTGCATGCTGGCGATGGCCGCATCCGAGGACTCGAAATCGCCGTAGGAGATGAAACCGTAGCCTTTCGACGCGGTTGTGACTTCATCGCGCGCAACCTTTGGCGCATTCACCAGTGGTCCGAATCGACTGAATGTGTCGTACAGAGTCTTCTCGTCTACACCTGGATCAAGATTGCCAACGAACAGCTCTGCGCCAATCTCGACATTCTTTTGCTTATCTGCAGATGCCTTGTTCACACGTATCCGGCTTCCGTAAAGGGCAACATTGTTGAGAATTTTAGAAGCATAGTCGGCTTCAGCTTCTGTGTGGAACTCGACGAAGCCGAAACTTTGGTGCTGTCCATTGACACGATCGACTGGCATATTCACATTACGTACACGGCCGGTGTTGAGCATCAGCTCGTGAAGGATGCGAGGTGTGACGCGCTCATGGAGATTACCGACGTATACGGTGGCTTCTTTGTTCTGCTCCCTGTATATTGATCAGGACATGCTAGTTGTTATTGATTTCGAATACGTACCAGTGACGGGCGCTTGGAGCCGACATGGCTGGAATTTAGCGAAGTGAGCGTCAAAAATCAGATATCTCAGATCGCACCACGTTCTTCGTGTGTCTGACACTGTTGGCTGAGGGCGAGGGATGTCGTGGCGTGTTGAAGGTGGAGTTGAACATGGCTGAAAGATCTCGGAGCTCGACAGTCCAGTCCTGCGCTAGTCCATATGTGGTTAATTTCGCCCAAGTCTCCGGCCCGTGCATGGACCCTAAGATTTTGAGCTTTGCGCATCATCGCAATCACGCCCACCAAGCCCGCCGTCACCCATTCCGTCACCCATTCTGACTCGCCCAAATCGACAGTCGACCACACAGCAATCATGTATCAACTATCGGAAGAGTCCAAGGTAAGCTACAATTCGTAGAGACAGACACGGGAGACACACATTGACCGTCCATTAGGAGCGCATTGCCCGCATCATCGATGTCTCCCGTGTCGCTATCCACTATGGCTACCTCCCTCTGATTCTATATCTCGGTTACTCTCGAAGCGAGCCTAGGCCATCTCTCATCCGGTGAGTATGGTGTTTTTGTCTTGCGCTCATCAGCGAATGAGTCCGCCTTCTTGTTGGATTGAGGCGCATTTACCTTCTCGCACCACGGAGGCGTAGAGTCTGCGCGCATGTTTCTTTGGAGCACTCTCATTTGGGAAATTTATGCTTGTCTGCGTCCAGTGGTTTGTGGTTAACTTACTGACTTGTGCAGTCTCTTCTCTCCACTTGCATAAATATCCCAACGAAGACATGTCAACGACCGTTTGCAGAATTTTTGTACAATACTACGCTCCTGAGCACACGAAATCTCGGGCACGGTGACTTTAGCCACTTGATCCTGAAGGATGATGTGTGGATTTTTGCGTGCGCCTACTCTTCTCCTACTTTTCTACTCCAATTGGCCGTCGGCGGGCGGCTCCTCGGGGCTGTATATCTATATCAGAACATCCAAGACAGATTAATGTACCCTGAAACATGACACCCGCCGTGGGGGTGTTCAGTCTAGACTGCAGTCTGCCATTGGCACCAAGCGTAAGCAGCTCAAACATTGCGTGCTACATTTGTTGGAATTGGTCGTGTCCGAGCTCAAAGTCGTGCCCGCAACCTTGTTGGTTGAATATGGGGGCGCTTGCCATGTGTGAGCACCTGTGCGGGGTGGCTGAGTACCAGCCGTGTGGTGAAGATAAACATACGCCAATAACGGGACGCTGCTTACCCCACGTGGCTTGGTGGTTCGCCTACGTACTTGAGCATCAGGCCCCCATGTTCTCCTGCTTCATCCTCCACCAAAGTGAATATTTGACACCTTACCTTTGTAGCACACATCGCCATGGAGCCCTATACCCGAGTGCATGGCCTCGGGCCGGTTCTGACTGGGTCGCGAACTCTCACCCCATAGCCCCACGTCTGCCGTGTCCACGGTATAAGCCTCTCTCACAGACGGTGTTTCTACTAGAGTTTATGTGCTGATCGCTCTAATACCATTGATATCGCCTTTGCGTCTTTGCCATCTGCCCGACTGCTTATCGTAGTTCAGTACATGAACCTTATTACTCGCCGCCATGACTGTCCCCAGTATTGGGGACATTCTAATGTTATCCCAGAAGGCCTGGAAGATTGGAAGCGCATTCGCTGCTTGTCACAAGCAAGCTCCGCCTAACCTCGGTTGCATTGAAACTGAAACTGGCGGTTTAGCAAAAGCGCTCACACTACTGGCAGAGACATTATACGCCGAGTGCGAAAGCGGTCTGCTCCAGAGTGCTGACCAGCAAACCCGAGCCGGAGCTGCTGCTATAATCGGAGCCTGCAAGCGAGCAGTCGACGATCTCGATTCCTTGATAGATGAATACCAGGTCATCAAAAAGCATAGGACTGTGGGCGGTTTCGCAATTGAGCGAGCATGGAGTGACTTGGTACTAGCCGAGTACAAGACGATCCCTTGGACCACAGAGGGTGGTGACCTGGTCAATTTGAGGGACTTGCTACAGGTGCATAAACACGCAATAACTGTTTTGGTGCAAGCATTACAAAGGCTAGTGATGCCAGTCTCGAGGCCTCCAACGACTAACATTGAGTAGCAAGTCCTCAACTCGCTTAGAACGGGTAGTGAAACCAATGGCGGAACGTATCGACAGTATGTACACCTCAAGCAGCAGCCTCGATCAGCAGCTGGACGAGGTCCATCGCATGGTACAGGATCTCGATATAATGTCACGAGACTCTGCCACGCCGCCCGTCCCGCCAAAACATCCCGCACGAACTCCAAGTACTGGAGACGCAAGTTATCAAAGTTCAACGCTTGACCATTCAGATTTATCACGATCACCACCGCGGAATCCCAACCTCAAAATATCATTACCTTCAATTCCGTATAACCAGAGGTTATCCCAGTACTCAACGGCTAGTTTGACCAACGGACCGCCTACTCCTTTACCCACCAGAGAAAGTATATCAGAGGCGAGCATCATGGACTCATCACTGCGCTACTCGAGCAGCAGTTATGCATCTTCTGAAGCTGGTCAAAGTTCCACTGGATGGCAAAGTCCACAATCAGCAGCGAAACAATTACGCCTCAGTCGTCAACAGTCGATATCAACCAGGAATGGCCCGGCTTCTCCAGAGATACGGGAGCAGACACAAAGACTCAAAAATCGATATTCGACACTACATTCCTCTCCAATTCTTGGGCCTGAAGTTCCACATGAGCTGGGAAGAACACTGTCGCAAGCTGAGATTGAGCAACTTCACCGAAGCGCGACAACGGCGAGCCAGCGAAATGCTTTTGAAAAGGAAGCTTTTCGTAATTCAGCTATACTTTGTGATGTGTAAGTTATAAACTACCTATCTCATCAACTTGCGTATCAGAAATGTATCCTTTTTCTTGTCATGGACAATTTTCCACAAACTAACACCAACCACATAGCCGGGGCAAAGTAGTAGAGTACTCCCACCGTATCAACCGTGACGATCCCCGAGACGTAGAAATGATCACCGTCTGTACAGACTGCCGTATTGCTGTGGTACGAAAACGCATCACCGACCCGGAAACCCGAACCGTCCGCGTTGTAACTTCCATCTGGGTTTTTAGTGACGACACCCAAGTCCGTATGGAACTCCGCATGCAAGATGAACACATGTACATTCCCTACGCAAGCTACTTTTCCCCCGCCAAAGTCTCCATCACAGTTCCCTGCGAGCTCAGATTCTACGATGTATCCCATGCATCCGGCCCAGCCCGCGTAGCGCAAACGAGCTGGGTGAATTACGTGTTTGATAGCCCTCAGTGTAAGTCTCTCCTAACCTCATATATATATATATACACAAAAGATTCCCCTTCCACAAGCCAAAAGAAAAAGGGCTAGTAATATCTAACAACCAGAAAAGCGTCGGCACTCTTCCAAAACGAACTAATGGGCCGCACCCTCCTCGCCACCTTCCGCACGGAAAAAACGCTCCGCACCCACTCAGGCCTCTCCAAATCCTTCGCCTACGCAGAACAAATGTGCGGCCTCGAAACCCTGCGTATCTGGCAAGACAACGATACCGGCGCCGTAATCGCCCTCTTACACTTCTCCGCCGACTTCCGCACCGGCTACCTAGCTTTCTACCTAAACTCTGCCCGTGATCCCCTCAGTATCAAGGACGACGGTATGAGACAAGTCAAAATCCGCGGCCTAAAAGTTCCGGTGGATGCCGCTGGGTCGCAGACGCCGGATCCTTCTTCTTCTGCTGTTGCTGCTGGTGCTGGTGCTGGGAGTACAAAGGGCAAAGATAGAGCGGGCAGTGTGGCTGGAATCAAGAAGAAGAAGAAACAAGATAAGGAGGATGGGGTGATTAGTGGTGCCAAAGTTGAGTTTGCGACTGAGGTGGAGAAGAGGGAGTTTTTGGACTTGTGTAAGGTTATGCAGGGGAATTTGATTGAGTTGCCCGAGTTGCAGGGGGTGAATTGATGGCAGAGATACGAGTGGAAAACAGCTCTTTTTTTCTTTTTCTCTGGTGGTGGAAGAGTAATGAGGGTTCGAATTTATTTTTTTGGCTTACTATGATGATATGTATGAGCTTATCCTTTTTTTCCAAGAGGGATTGAGGTAGAGATAACTTTTTTCTTCCTTAATTTTTTTTTCGTTGATGAACGATCTATCTTCCTTCTATTTGATGTAATCTCAATTGGGGTTTCTGTGTAATAATTTATTCTTTGTGAAAAACATACACACACATATATTTACTTAATCTAACATGACGTATATCAAGAGCACGAAAAGAAAAAAACCATGGACAGGCAAGTGGCATGCCAAGCTTTTCCGAGAAAAAAAAACAATTTGATATGCCATACGCCAAACAGATGTAACGAGTTCAAGTGATGGACAGACAATGCTTCAAATTAATTAAAATTTCATAATGCCATACGTCTCCCTATCTACGTGGTATACCTCCACCCCCCCAAAGGCTCAAAACAACGTAAACGCACACAAGACCCAGCGTACATGTATGTCAATGCATAAACGCACGCCAAACTCCCCCCCCCCCACACAGCCCCTTACCTTGACCAGTTTCCTGCCACATGAGTACGCAATTTTCCCAACGTACATAAAAAAAAAGAAGAAGTAGAAGAAGAAGAGGAAGAAGAAAACACAAAGACACAAAGTGACTCCAAGGAACGGCCACTATGCAAAAGCCACACTTGCTCTTCAACTGTCAGTTCTCCTTGAGAGTTTCCCCACTCGTCACGGTTATCATCCAATCCTTTCTCACCAGCCAAGCCCCTTCACACAAAAGCCGGAGTGAGGTCGCGCTTGATTTCAAGACGAGGCGAGGACTAGTCGCCATTGACTTGCTCGGCACCCCCTCCATTGGTATGAGTAGTGCCCATATACCGCTGCATGTAGGTAATGTAGTCGAACTTGGGAATATCACGGTCTTCTTGCATGTCTGGGCCTTTGTGCTCAGGCATGGTAGAAAGAAGGTCATCAATGACCTCATCAGGTACAAGGGAGTGCCGGAGGTCAAGCTCTGTGACGTATGGCTATTTCAAGGGTTAGCATTTGGCTTTGTGTGCACAACAGACTGCATAGATGACTTACCTTGCCGTCGGCGACTTCCCTAAACGACTCAAAGACTTGCTCGGCTGTGTTTTGGTCTTCAGTCTCGTCAACCATGAATCGAATAAACTGTTCAAACGTGACAAAGTCCTTGCCGCCGCTCGTTTCACGGAATCTCTCATGCATTTCTTCCTCGTCGTAGACTAGTCCCAGACTTGCCAGTGCTGCCGAAAATTCCAATTCCGCGAGTGAGTTGGAAACGTCACGGTCAAAGTGGCGGAAAACGGATTCAAACTCTTCTAATTGAATGGGCGTCAGGTTGGTCATGTTTCGGGCAACCATTTGGTTCTCGAGGAAGGCGAGCTTTTTCGATACGGAATTGCGGACCAGACCGAGCTCGTACTCGAGTTCATCGTACGTGTATGTTGTAAAATCGTTTTCTTCAATGTTTGCTTCGGCGCACTGCTCATCAATCGACGCTATGAGATTCAAGTACTCGTCCAGTGGTGCAAGTGACTTGCTAATTTCTTTGGTATGCTCGAGTTGGTCATCAACATCGCCTTCGAGGGCAGATATCGACGTGGATAGCGTGTTGAGGGCCAGAGCAAAGTCGTTGGCTTTGTCGGCAAAAGACTTTCGTAGGGCATTCTTGATATCTCGGATTGTTTCGTTGATGATCTGGGAGCGCTGTCGTTCGGCCTTCATCAATCCCGACCATGCATTATCGAGCGCGTCGAGACTGAGTTCCGCTGGAGGCTCGTACGGTCGCAATCGGTATGTGGCTAGCTTGGTCCTAATGTTGCCCAACAGCCCAACAAGATCCGACTTCTCCGCAACCCATGTCCGCTTGTTCTTGCGCTTCCATGCCGTAAACTCGGTGGATTGAGCCCTTGCATCGGCATATGTCCCGTCAAACGTGGCTTCCTCCCATTGTGACTGCTGCTTAGCAATCTGGCCTAGCAGCTCGCGCATGCGCCTTTCAAAGTCGTTCTGCATCTGCCATGCTCCTTGCATGTTTGCCACAAACTTTTCTACTCTTCGGCCGGCGTTTTCGACTCGTTCCATCTGCGAGAAAGCATGGAACCAGTAGGCAATGTATGTCATAAGGGATCGCTCATCGGGCTTGGGCACGTCGCACACATCCTCCACATCGAGCAGGTCGGGGATGCCAATCTCCTTGGAGGCGATATCGAAAGCAAGTTGCATGTTTCCGCGGTGGTCGTTCTTGTCGAGGCTATCGTAGTCGATGAGGTCGGGGCGGTGGATGTCGAGGAGGGCACAGCTATTTGTGTGTTAGGCCAACGGAAGGTGGGGGAAACACCATAATCAACTCACAATGCTAATCCATCGTTCCAACTTGTGGAGAAGTCGCGTACTTCTACTTCATCGTAGCAAGCCGTCTTTCTCTGACACCACAGCAAGAGACCCTCCTTTGCACTCAGACCCTCTTCGTTGATGTCGCTGATGGTGAAGCGGAGAATGAGGGTCCATATGAGACCAAGGATGATCTTGCTATTGCCGTCGACGACATCCTCAGCACCGGTGTTTGTGAGTTGGATCCTCCTACTCCGGATGAAGTCGAGTGATTTGTTGACGTTTTCAAACTTTTGGACACGGAGCTTTGGTCGCGAGGCGTATCGGCCGAGAGATTCGTTGCTGAGGATCTCCAGGAGGTGGATCAGGATGATCTGGACAGGGTTAGTGGGTGGATGCGGGGACAGAGAGAGAAGGAGAGGCGGGGTTGCATACACCGTCAGAGAGGTCTGTGATGAGGTCTGAGATCTCGACGCTCCGGATCTTTAGTTTGCTGTTGAGCCTGCATTGGTGTGGTTAGTAGTGGCGCGGAGAGGGGGGCGGGCAGAGATGGGCACCATTTGGTGAAGGTCTTTTGCTGGACGTTGACCCATTGCTGTTCAAGCGGCGCCATGTTTGGGGTGCATCAGTGCTCGGCGAGGGGGCAGGCACACGGTAGCAGGAGTTGGGAGGCGTGGATATGCGATGCAGGCTGACAATGAGCCTCGTTGTGTTTTCCAACGGCCAGCCAAAACAATGGATGGATGGCTCACTGCGGGCGCGGACTCGGCTGTCGGTGAGACCCCGGTCGAATGGTAGCGGGGCCCCTGGGTCCGCTCGCTTGTCGGGTGGCCTAGCGGCGGAAGAGGGCAGTGGTTGGTCGGACTGGACTAGACTTTTGTTTTTTTATTGCAACAAGACGGGATTGGCGGTGCAATTGGTGTTGATGGCTGCGGGTAGGAATGACTATGTAGCCGCAATATGAGAGCGCAAGGGAGGCGCAGCGAGCAGATTGGGTGGTTTTGTAGGAGCAGCTGCCCCCCCACTTGCCTCGTGGGCGGGTGCACGCTGATTGGGCAGGCGCCGTGTGTTTGTGTGTACGTACTCGATGCATGTACTCTATCGCAGGTAGGTATTCTGCTGGGTGGCGACCATGGCCTGGATGATGGCTGTAGCCACGTCTCACGTGCTAGGATACTTGAGGACTGTTTGTTGTCAGTCTGGCATGCTTATTCGCACCCTTACTGTGGAGGGTGAGATGAATTAGCCAAAATGCGGACAGGCGGGCTTGGGCGGCAACAGGCCTCTGCGCCAGGCGGTGTGAAAAGTGGCTGGTGGTGGATGTAACCATGTAGGCAAGTAGTCGAGGGGCGGCGTGTTTGTAATCCATCCTTACATACACGCCCAGGTGGGAAGGAACGAACCACTTGGGTAGCTGCGAGGAAGGAGCGACCGACCACGATGTTCCTATGAAGCTCGCCTGCATCAACCTTGCTCGCCATGGCTGCCAATCAGCGGCTTCGTCTTGTCTGTGTACATATATAATGTACTCGCTATGTAGATACATGATACATGAATACATGTCGATGCCCGAGCACAACCAGCACCTTTATCGCTGCACAAGCCCAACCAACAGTAATCTCCGAAGACATGTTGGAAGCCATCATGTTGGATCACCCCGCTGTCCGGGTGAGATGATGGCAGGGTGGAGGAAGCGTCTTGGGCTTTTCCATGGAGAATGCAACAGCTTGATCTAGTGGCGTCTTCTGGCAATGACGTGCATGGTCGACGGCTGCTGGGGCAGGCATGGCAGTGGGTGTATCGACAATGTAGCATGTGTCTGCTCGGGGTGTAGTGTAGGTAGACTAAGCATGTATCTATGTATGGACATGTACTAGCTAGTACGTAGTCGATACACAGACGTCTACTTAGTCAAGACAGCCACCCACCCACTGGCTGCGGGCGGCGTCGACCCGAGGGTTGAAACGGGCCAGGGCAGCGATGCTCGGTGCATCGAGTGCCGCTTGACGTGAAACGCTCCACCAGACGGGCTACATGTATGTACTGCGTAGTCGCTCCGATGCCATTCACGGGCGACATTTGCGTGACAGCCAGGCCGGGCTATAGACGCCAGCTGCAAGAGTTTCAGGCGCGGGCGAGCGCTGCGCTCTGAAACGTTGATGGCCATGACGCCGCCACCGTCTTCTAGTACCACTGTCGCGCCTACACGCCCATGAAACACATGGCCGCCCCCTTGGCCTCGAGTATCGGCTGCTCCTGCATGCCCATGGCGCTCATCGTGCCCATTCCGCCCATTACGCCTCGACTCGAGCTCGAGAGTTGCGGGTGCACGTGAGAGCAGCGTTAGCGCGCCGTCTGGCTGCACATGTGCATGCTCCACGCTGAGCCAGGAGAAAGCGCTCCACTAGTAAAGACTGCCCGCCTCGACAATACACTTCTCACCACAGCATCCTCTCGCTCTCGTTCGTTGGCTGCCAACCCTCTCCTATCCACCCTAACCTCGCTCCCCATCCCCCCATGTGGCTTTTCCATTGAGCCCATCCCTGGTGTGCGACGCATTGCCCTTCTGAACCATTGGCAGCCGCACCCGCTGCCCTCTCAGCACTACTGGCCCGCCCGCCAGCTGCCCAAGCCCTCTCGCATTGCTGCTGGCCCGCTCCGCGCGACGCTCCACCCCAAAGACTCGCCCGCCAGCTGCTCCACCATTACTACGCCCTCTGCCGACGCCCAGCCCGCTGCGCAATTGTCGACCCGACCCGACTCGACTCGACTCGACTCTCTTTTTCCCTCTTCCTCTCTCTCTCACTCGCGCTCAAGGCTGTGCCCTCCCCCGCTGCCTGTCAAGTTCATCTACTACCCTTCACCCCGCCATTCACCGCATCCCCCAGCACTCACCATTGCATTTCCGAGGTGACTACGCGCTCCCCGGACGCCGTCACAGTTGCCTGCTAAAGGCCCCTCGAGCTATTGTCTAAATTAGAGGTTGCCCATGTAAGTCTCCTCACTCTTCTCTTCGCCTCTTCAGCGCCTTCTCAGCTATCACTCGTCTACGGCCTTTTTTTTTGCTTCTTTGCTGCAGCCACCGTGACTACTCGCCGGAGCCCGGTCCGACTCAGGTAGCATACGTCGCTGCTCGTCAGCCTAAGCAGACCCCAACTAATCACGACATCGCAGCATGTATTCCCGCGAACAGTTCATGAACCCTGGTCCCGCACCGCGACCACCCACAGATCGTCCCCGCCTCGCCCTTACCCCAAACACCAGCAGCACGCTGCCAGGCAACATGGCTGGCCTAAGTATGCAGTCGCCCGGCATGAACAACGGCTCTCAAATGTCCCTTGTTCGCACACAGACCGAAAGAAGCGGCTCGTCCACGTCCACGGTCAAAGAAGGCATGGTCAAGGTCAAGGACGAAGGCCTGTTCAAATCCTTCGTCTGGGCAGACCGCTGGCTGGTGCTGCGCGAGTTTGAGCTCAATTTCTTCAAGAGCCCAAACGCCTCAAAGGTATCCAACTCCATTCAGCTACGAGACATTCTGGGTGTCGAGCGATCCGACACACAGCCCCTGTCTTTTGAAATCACCCGCGCACTCAACCCCAGCAAAGGCTCATCGCCACCCCGCGATGGTCCCACAAAGATCATTACATGCAAAGTTGAGACCGATGATGAAGTTTACTCGTGGATCGATAGCATCTACCAGCGATGTCCTAGCATGGGTGGCGTCAGCAACCCCACAAATTTCACGCATAGAGTACACGTAGGCTTCGATCCAAACAGCGGTGCTTTCGTTGGCCTGCCTGTCGAATGGGAAAAGCTGCTCACCGCATCTGCACTTACCAAAGATGACTACGCAAAGAACCCAAAGGCCGTTCTCGAGGTCCTCGAGTTTTACACCGAGAAGCTTGTCAAGCGATCAGAAGACCCCCAACAATATCCAAGCCTTACACCCACCCCGCCAGGCAGTGCCGGAATGGACAAGCAGCTGGGCTATTCAGGCGGCGGAAATTCCGTTGCACCTCCACGCCCTGCTCCCCCTGGTGGTTACCCACGCAAGGATAGCTACAGCTCCAGTCGCCAGAACACGCCGCCTCAGCAAGGCTATTCCAGTCAACAAAACTCTGCCTCACAGCAACAGCAGCAGCAACAGGACCGCTATGACCAGGAGAGGAGACGACAGGAAGAACAGGCAAGGATGCAGCGCGAACGTGAGCGACAGAGACAACAGGATTACGAGCGCGAGCGCGAGGAGCTGGCTGCGTACAATGCTTCGCTACCGCAGAAAAAGGTTCCATTGGCCCAACAAGAAATCGGTGGAGGCAGCTACGATGCACGCGACACAAGCCCTTCAGGCCAACGATACAACCCCAGTCGTCCTGCGCCATCAACTCCAGGTTCGGCGAGGAACCAGCAGCAATCACAGCAGCCTCCAGGTTCATTGCGCCAGATGGCTGCACAGCGTCCAGCTCCCCCAGCTCCTCAACAACAAAACGGCAACTATAGCTCTTCTCCTTCAAAGTCATCTTCTCAACAGCGCCCGCCCGTTCAGCCCAACAGCAGCTACAAGGGTTCAAGCGGACAGGTCCCTCGCACCAACAACGGCCAGCAGCAGCAGCAACAGCAGCAAAAGCAATACCAGGGCTCATCTGCTGCTCCAAAGCCATTGAATGTTGCTAAGCCTGCCGCTCCCGTCAGCGATGCTGTCAAGAAGGCTGAACAGGCCCTCACAGCCAAGCCCAAGGATGAGCCCCAACGCAAAGACGTGCGCATGTCGAGCATGTCGGAGAGCGAGGTCATGGCCAAACTCCGCGAAGTCGTGTCCAAGGAAAGGCCCCTGGATTCGTACAACAAGCAGAAGAAGATTGGCCAGGGTGCTAGTGGCTCTGTCTACGTAGCTCGCATCCGTGAAGGCGCCACGTCACCAATGGCCAGGAGGGTCATGCAGGAAAACGGACCACGTGCTCAGGTTGCCATTAAGCAGATGGACCTCCGTAATCAGCCCCGCAAGGAGCTGATTGTGAATGAGATCATTGTCATGAAGGACAGCAAGCATCCCAACATTGTCAACTTCTTGGATGCTTTCCTGCAAGAAGAGCAGTCCGAACTTTGGGTCGTCATGGAGTTTATGGAGGGAGGTGCCTTGACTGACATTATTGACAACAACCCTTCCATCAGCGAAGACCAGATTGCCACCATTTGCTTCGAGGTCAGTCTTTCGCTTATGTTCGTCCAAACTCATGCTAACTTTTGATAGACTTGCAAGGGTCTTGAATATCTCCACAACTTGAACATTATTCACCGAGACATCAAGAGTGATAACGTCTTGCTCGATGGCCGTGGTAATGTCAAGATTAGTACGTTTTCGCTTATCACGATCTCGCTGTACCTTACTAACCCGTTACAGCGGATTTTGGATTTAGCGCCAAGCTCACTGAGCAACGTAGCAAGCGTGCAACCATGGTCGGAACTCCATACTGGATGGCACCCGAGGTCGTCAAGCAAAAAGAATACGGCAACAAGGTCGATATCTGGTCTTTGGGTATCATGGCTATCGAGATGATCGAGTCCGAGCCGCCATATCTCAACGAGGAGCCCCTCAAGGCCCTGTATCTCATTGCCACCAACGGTACCCCTCGTCTTAAGAAGCCAGACAAGCTTTCCAAGGAGCTCAAGGCATTCCTGTCGGTCTGTCTCTGTGTTGACGTCAAATCGCGAGCTAGTGCATCCGAGTTGATCAGCCATGACTTCCTCAAGAGTGGATGCAGCTTGGCGAGCTTGTCTCAGCTGCTTAATTTTAGGAAGAACGGAGGCCACTAAGCAACTTGTAACCAAACGTCGAGTCAGGAGTGGTCCAAGCGACACCAAAAGAGTAATGGCGGGTGTTTTCACGAAGCGTTCTGGACTTGATCGATACCCTTTTTATGCTCATTTTACACTATATCCAAGACGCGGTCTGGCCAGGTTCCTTATTTTTGCAATCGATGACCTATCATGGAACCTAAACGAGCGCTGGGCCGTTCAAACCTCCCTAGCATTGCCCGACTGGAATCTTGGCGGCCACGTCAGAAAAGAATTACACATTGCTTCTTGTGCCCACGATATTCCACTTGGTCTACTTGGTTCACTGATGCCGTTGCATAAGATGGTACAAGCTGTCGAGCTACTGCTTTGCCGAACAAGACTGATGTCTGATACCCCAGTGGAAGTGGGTTTCATCCTACGATGTTTCCAAACATGTTTCATCCGGTCATGGGAAATCAGTCTTTGGCATAGGACAATGGGGCAGCTTGTATCCATCTCAGCCCTCATCTTTTGCGCTTCTCATCCCTTTTATGTATATCCCCTTTCCATCTCTCTCTACACAAGTGTTTATAGGGCAAGACGATATCATTGGCGTGAAAAGGAAGGGAGGATGGTCTTTCTTTTTATTTGAAACGGCAAACTGTTTTTTTCTTGATGTGCGATCTGGACATCGCTGGTTGCGAAATCTTTCAGGAGGTTCTTGTTTTCAACTTTCATACTTGCCCAATTCCTCTCTATGCTCATGTTTGGGAGCCAAATGTGAATTACGGGTAGATGTCAATGACAGTTCTATAAAATATTTAATTTTTCAAACAATGTCAAATACTGGTTCAACACACAAGCGAAGTGACAAATCCAGGTGAAGTGGAATCGTACTTGTATGGTATGGTAAATGTCATTGGATATTTTGATTCGGGTCCATTTTGTCAAGTGTCATGTTGACAGAATTGACATGTAGAACCTGACAGATGGATATGTTCTGTCAACCAAGACTATCAACCTCGACGTACCGCATAAGAAAGTCATTTTCTCAAAGGAAACCCCCCCCCCACCGTCATGATCCCGTTCCCAGCAAAAAACTCCACGCAGTGAACCAGAAAACAAGAAAGAAAGAAAGAAAGAAAGAAAGAAAAAAACCCCCCAAAACCCCGATCCAAACAAATCAATCCCCATCATATTTCATAAAATCCACTTCTGCCCCTACTTCCTTGAGAGAAAAAAAAAAGAAAAATCCAAGACCCGTACTTGAATACCACAGACTCACAAGTTCTTTACAAAATGAAACCCCCCCTTCCGATCCCTAAACACCATCCCCCCGGCCTCAGCCCCAGACCCACGACTAACCAACCTCTCGAGCACCCACTCATCCTGCATTTCCTTCTGGTACACCTCTACGGCGTCGACTGCACCAGGACGAGCACCAAGCAGGCCATAGACCTCTGGCTCGCAATGCGCGACAAACTCGCTGAAGCGACTAGTAAATCGCGTGCTGGCGTGTGAGATACTCACTGGAAGGGGTAAAGTGGGGTGCGGTGGGATGCGTGCTGCGAGCGGAGCGGAGAGGGATGCAGCAGAGGGGGTGGAGTGGCCGGTGGGGATGCCGAGGCGGGATGCGATGATGGCGGAGGCGTGACGTGCTGTTGACGCAGTCAACGAAGAAGGAGGAGATGGAGAAGATGGAGAAGGGGATACGGTGGTGTCTGGGCGAGGACGAACGGGGAGGACCATGCGGGTGTTGGTGTGGCGCATGTACATTAGTGTGTCGTTGTATGAGTCGGTGGGGCGCGGGGGGCGCTGTGGGGGACTCCTGTTGCGTCGGGTGAAAGGGGTGGTAGTGGTGGTGGTGAGGTGGTTGAGGAGGAGGGGGATGGCTGAGTCTTGGGATGTGGGGGTTGGGTGGGAGATGGGACCTGTAATGCTTTTGGTCTTTTTGAGTGTGGGGCGTGGTGGGCGGTTGCTGCTGCGTTTGAGGAGTGGTGGTGGAGACGGTGGAGGCGGTGGTGGTTGTGGGAGAGAAGAGTAACGCGTTGGCAGCGGGATTGTGAAGTCGACAGGGATTTGGGGGACGGGTGGTGGTGGCGGCGATCTTGAGTAGGTTCTCTTGTTGCCGTTGAAGATGCGGGAACCTGGGGTGTGGATATCATGTTAGACTCGGATTGAACTTGAAGAAATAGAGAATCAAGGATATGATAGAGTGAAGAGTGGGTAGACTTACTCTTGCTCTTCAAGGCCGCAAGGTTCGAACACGACTTTTTCAGGTTGGACATACTGAACGCATTGCGATACATTTTCTTCTTGTTGGATGTAGCAGGTGAACGACGGAATGCCCGTGTGTCGTCGTCGTCGTCGGAATCGTCGTAGTCTGGCAGAAGATCGAAATCATCGCTGGGCTCACGAGCAATGACGCGTGGTATGGCTGGAGGCAGCAAAGTTGACGATGAGGAATTGAGCCGCAGAGCTGGCTGCGGCCTCTCTACCTTGTCATCTTTGCGGCGAAAGGGCCATGTCACTTCCCGTTTGGTCAATTTCTGACTTGTGTGTACAGGTGATTTTGGTGATACACGAGGGGAAGTAGGAAAGAGACTGTTCCTACCTTTTCTTGTAGCAGTGCTGTCAATACCAGCGTCGAATTCAAAACGTGACGTGCTGTTGGTTGCCACCTTGTCCTCTGAAGTTGTACCTTCTCTGAAGAAACGCGATGCTATCACCTTGCGTATCAGTACGGTCTGAGAGAGGATGACAGTCGCCGGTGATCTCACCGCGCTGGAGAAGAGAGGGCTTAGCTTGCTTACCTTTACTTCGGAAACTCTTCATCTTGAACACAGTCGATGGGCAAGGAGTATAGTCAGCGATCTGTTGTCTGGTTTGCAAGAGCAATTGAGTGACTTGGGGCAGTAGCTTTGCTTCAAGTAGGCAAGGGAGCAAAGCAAACGGGATTTAGCGTAAGATCAGCCTCGAGCAGGTGATGCGGTATTTTGAAGCGATTCACGGTGAAGTGCACAACGGGCTGTGCCAAGCCTGTACTCGCGTTCAGCGCTAGTAGTCAGTGAAAGTGAATACTAAATCGACCTGGAGCGGCAAACGAATACCCATTGTCTGGTAGACGGGCCATTGGTCTAAGTCAGATGCCCGAACCGCTACTCGAGAACATGCGCAAGGCAGTTGGACGCAAGCCAATACATTGCATTGTCATGTGCAAGAACCATAGTACGTTGCTTAAACAGTGACCCCTAACATTGGATAAGCACAGAGGACAAAACACTCAAAGTGGGAATAGAAACATCAATCGAACATCGTCTCACCATCACAGAATAAAACCAGAAGACAGCCATTGTTGGACATGAAAACCCTGCGCCCCCATAGGAGCGTCAGAGCCGAGCATCATGCCCTAATATTTTTTCTTGATTTTTTACTTGAGAGATTTGTGGTGTTTGTAGTGATGGAAAAAGTCGAGTCATGCCTGGATCCAGAAACGTGGACAGCAGACGATTGTCGGAGGAAGCTCACCTCACAAAGCCAGTCGAGACAACCCCAGATGTGCATATATGCACCAAAACATCAAAACATGATGTTGCAAAACGCCAGTCGACCAGCTCCTAGAACCCCGTGCACATGCAGCCAATCCATGAACCATGACAAAGAAAAGTTCTTGTGCTGGACTGAGCAACTAGGACGACATACCCAGCAATCCATACTACGTCCACCAACAGTGAATGACTAGTCATTCAAAAAAAACGCCGGAAACTCCAAATAAACGATAGTAAGGTCATAGTACATGACGATATGAAAACGCTAGAAGACCCATATAGACAAAAGAAAGTGTGTGTATGAAAACACTAGTAGGTAGAATGAAAAATGCGGAATATGGACAGGTAGAAAGTAGTCTACCTCACGGTGGAGGCATCGCCAGCCGTGTTGAGATTAAGCAAACGCTTGAGATCCTGCTCCAAAGCTAAAGTTTCAGAAGGGGTGGATGTCTTCATCGCTGGGGTAGCTGCGGGAACCGTGGGTGCAGAGGTCTTGCGCTGCTTAGCAGCGACCGAAGAAGGGACAAAAGACATCATGGTGGTAGAAGGTTTCGGTGCAGACGCAGGAGAGGCATTGGCGGCTGCTTTATCAAACTTGGGTCCAGGTCCAGATCCAGATCCAGTCCTCTGGCCCCTTGTTTGGTAGGTGTCAGGACGACGCTGGTGTGGCTGTCTACCAGGCGTGCGCCTTTGATTTGGGCTTTGCTGATAAGGTGGCATGGAAGGGCCTGCCTGACGAGGTGCATTCGGCGTTGCGCCATTGCCCTGGGGGAAGCCGTTGGGTCCCATTGGGTAAGGCTGAGGAACGGATGCAAAACCCTTGAACCCATCTTGCTGAAGCATTGGGGAATCAGCACTGATTTCAGTGCGAAGGCCAGAGTTGCGTTTGGCCGAGTCACCCTGGGCTGCCTTGAACAGTGGAGAAAGGTTCTTGTTGCCGTAGTAAAAGTCGGACGGGTCCTGGTTCGTGGGCTGCGCTTGGGGGGTAGTGGGGCCAGATGCCGTTCGTCCAGGAGTCCGACCATCATGGAAGGGCGAGGGCGATAGATGTGCTTGAGGTCCTGATGGGCCATGAGCACCCGCACGAGGTGGTGTTGCAGTAGTAGGTTTCTTCTGTGACATGGAAAGACGACTAAACAGGTCTTGCATAACATCATTTCCATTGCCCTGCTGGTGAACGTCTTTGAGTTGAGGGACGCCATCGGGATCTGTCATGGAGCGCTGTGAGACGGATGGCGCTGGAGGTGCGGGGGACATGTGCGCATGCTTGCTCTCCCCGTCAAGCTCGATAGGGAAGATGCCATTGAGTGAATGGTAAGAGTCATGCTTGAAGTGGTGAGATCGCCCGGGATTTGCTGCTACGAATGGGCTGTTTGAAGGAAAGCCTCTGTTTTGGTTGTTGGCCCTCTCTGCTGCATCGGCCCTGAAGAGAAGATCCAAGGGAGACTGCTCATGGCGTGGAGGCGCAGCCATCGGGGCACGAGAAGGAGAAGCAGAAGGGCTCAGTGAGCCCGAGTCAGAACTGTCCTCAGGCGGAGGGGTTGGTGGGCCAGCACGGGTCTTTGCGGGTACAGAACGAGAAAGAAACTTGGGAATTGGCAAAGCAGAAGGCGCCGGAGACGCGTGAAAGGTGGGCCCAGCATAAGCGGCCTGAATTTTGACAGGAGTTGCAGACGGGTTAATAGGAACGGGGTCCAATTCGATAGGCGGAGAGACGCGATCAGACGGTTTCGGCTGAGCGTGCTTCTTCATGCCGCGTGAACCGGCAGACATGTGACCATCTTCACAGGGGAAGGTGACACTTTCAGCGAGAGCGCCTTGTGCGGTATTCTTGCTCGGGGATACAGGTAGGCCGTTGCGCTGGTTGTAGCCATTTTGCGCGCGGTTATTCCGTGGTTTTCTTTGTGACTGTCTTCCGGCGTTGTTGTTTTGGGGCAGCTGAGCTGGGCTCTGCGGCTTTCCGCGGGGCGCTCGTGGAGAGGCGGTGATCTGAGTTGTCGACATTTGAGGAGTAGTGGGGTGTTCTGTGTGGGGAGAAGATTATCTAGAGGGTCGCAGGCGGACGCTCTTTGTTCGAGAAGTGGAAGTGGGATGAATGGAGCGCGATGACGCGGGTTGTAGTTGGGGGGATGGCTGTGTCTGGTGTAGTAGAAGTGTGCAAAGGTCGAGTGGTAGAGTGTTCATATCCAGTTCCGCGGGGTAGAGATAGGCACGCGCCGTCGGGTGATGTAGGGCGAAGAGAGTGAGTGAGGGTGTAGTGAAGAGTGTCGGGCGCATCAGTCGGTGCCAGCGCGGAGGTGGCTGAGGTCAAACAGGGCTGATCTCGGCAAGGCGCACTGACGCTTGCAGCGGCGGCGGCGACGTAAGGCTGAACGGCTGTTACTATGAAACAGACGTCGAGCTGGGGTGGCAATGGGGATGATTCTGACACGGATCGTCCCTTTCCGGCATTGAGCTCCAAGCGTGTGCTGCTGGTCATTTCTTCGCATTGCCCTTTGTCTGCGGCGTCATCGCAGACGGTGACGTGAATGGGCCCTGGTCTTGGCATTCTCGCGCTGGCAGCTGGAGCCTGACGGATGCACGTTGCGCCTTCAGCCTCGATACCATATTCGGGCCAATACATTGCCACCCCATAGTAACTTGGTTTCTGGTTCTGGCTGGAGCTCGAGCTGCAACCTGTTCCCGCCCATCTATTACATACCTGCGGCCCGTCAAACTCCACTCTTTGTCCACGCTTCAGCCTCCGACTCTACACTCCCCCCGCCCCCACCAGCTCCGAACCGCCTTCATCGCATACTAATCATGGCGGACGTTGACATGGCAGACGCGCCCCCGGCCAAGACCAAGACATCCAAGGCCGGTGCCAGTGGAGAGGGCGACAAGAAGCGCTTCGAGGTCAAGAAGGTAGGCGGCACACGAGCACAAACAGTGCGTTACCAGACTTTTGGATGCTGACATGACGCAGTGGAATGCCGTTGCTCTCTGGGCCTGGGATATCGTCGTCGACAACTGTGCCATTTGCCGCAACCACATCATGGACCTGTGCATTGAGTGCCAGGCCAACCAAGCTTCGGCAACTAGCGAAGAGTGCACGGTAGCCTGGGGTATCTGCAATGTAGGTTCCGTGTTGCTAAACTCGCGATTCGCCATGCTAATTCACAGCAGCACGCCTTCCACTTCCACTGCATTTCACGATGGCTCAAGACGCGACAGGTCTGCCCGCTCGACAACAGAGACTGGGAGTTCCAAAAGTACGGCCGATAGACAGCAGTGGCCGGTACGACAAACAGGGTCAACAAGGACGCATTTGGGTTATGGTTCCATTCGGATGTCTGGCGTTAGCACGGCCTTTACAAAAGACTATCATGACAGCACGACGTAGTAACACGTGCAGTCAAGAGGGTCGAATAAGATTCCCATTACAATAAAACGCCGCATTTCTAGCCAATTGTGATACAAGTCTCCCCTGCCACTCGCTCCCAAACTCGGTCTATCCCACCTTCTCCCCGTCGACGTCGATGTTGTATTGCGATGAGGCGTTGTACTTTGGTAGCCAGCCTTCGGGGTTCTTGTTGTAAAAGGGCCACGGGGGCACAACGACGAGGAAGGTGAGGGCAGTGCCAGCGAGGCCAATGTAGAGGGTGAGGCGGATGTCTTGTGCCATGTAGCCGACAATGAAGGCAAGAATCTGGGTTCGTCAGTCGCATGAAGCGCTCGCAATGAAGAGAAGGGGGACATACACCAGCAGCGCCAAGGAGAACTGTGCTCAACATATCAGCCAGCCTCTGACCCTCAAAGTCCTGGTACCACTGTTAGCAAACCTTGTGGTGAAGCAGCGGTTGGTGTGCGTGTCTAGGCCTGGGTCTGGGTCTGGACAAGGAAAGTATCGCATACAATCTGGCCCTCGACAGCATCGCGCACTTGCTCGAGAAGTTGGTCCGCCATGTCACATGCACGTGCTCACAATGGAGGATTCCTGGCGCTCAAAGGGCTTTGTGTGTTTGGTACGTTTTGTAGGTACGTATGTACGTATGTATGAAAGTGGTCGACTGCTGGCTGGACAAGGCTAGCCGTGTTTGAAGAGGTGGCATGTTTGCGATCCAGAGCCCCATCGGAACAACCTCGGCGCGAGAGGAAGCGATCCGCGGCCGCGCCACCCCTGCATGCTTTCCATTTGCGCCTGACGATGATGCAGGTCAACAAGCGACAATTCCATATGCATCCATGGCTGCTTTGGGGGCGCAGAGACGCAGCACACATCTAGACTCATACACGCCTAGAGCGTCCGGTGCGCTGCTGCTCCGCATGCCTCAGAGGCTCCACCTCGTGCAGATGCAGTTAGTCGGCTGTCTTGGGGCTTCGGGAGCGCTTCAGCCCAATCAGCGGGCAGCGAAGCGTGGACCTGATCCAAAGGAAACAAGGCCTGGCCTTAGCCCTCTAGCCACACTACAAAAGACCCGCACCCCCCGTCAACCAAATATTTTCATCACCCACCTGGTCTCGCACCACGTATATATTGCCCACAGACCTGCTGCCCACGACAATACACCGCTTCTTCACCACGCATCTGGCAGCTGCCCCAGCGCACCTCGCCGCTTTCCAGCTCTGATTCCTCGTGGACCGCCATCCACCGTTGCGACTGATTGACCCGGCAGTGTTCTTTGTTTTTCCCCACCATCCCCTTTCACCCCAAACTCTGACGCTACGGCGTCCATAGACATCCAAACCACCAAGTTGGCGGGACTCTACTTCGACCGGCTCTCCTTCATCCGCCCCTTGCTCGGCACAAAAGCCTGGGTATACGGAGGCGACCACCAGCCCCCATAACTGGCCCTAACAACAAACACCGATTACCCTCGCTACTGCTTTCGCCTCCTTCGCCGAACCTTCCTATTCCCGGAGAGGGTGTGGAGGTCTGGATACCGGACACCTTTACCGTCGGCTTAGTGTAGGGGACCACCCTACGCGAAGCCATCGTCAAGTTGAGCGCGCCTTAGAGGTGGGCGCTCACAAGCGACCTACCCGCTTCCGTGCTTCTTGCAGCGCCAGAAGTCGCTGAATATACAAACAATCCTGGCTTAACCAAAGCACCCCGCATCAGATCCCGGAGTCCCACTCATCGCCGCCTGAGTAGCCAATATGACTGACACTCCGAGATCCGAGAGCCAGACCAGGTTCAGCACGCCCGTATCTGACCTGAACGACCACCGCAACCAGCCTCTATCTCTCCCGCGTGCCGAAGCAAACTCGCCCCCCAGATCGCGCCGACCTACATTTGCAAGCGCCCATGGCCAGGACCACCCCGACATCCTCCTCCAAGTCAACCAAGCCCTCGAGGCAGACATCACTCGACGCGACTTTGAAAGCGCCGTGGTAGACGATGACCAGCACTTGGCTCCTGATGCCTATGTTCGCCGCGGTTCGCTAGCCCACGACCCCCGGGCCCGACGAGACACATTCCGACGCCCTCGCGACCTTGCTGTCGAGCGCCTGTCTAGGAGCAGGGATTCGTCTACCAGTTCGCGATCTGTCTCTCCCCCCAACTCGGTTGATGCATTTGCCGGGCCTCGTCGCCGTGACCGAGCCAACACTCTTCAGAGCCATGCCGACTCAGAGACCGACCTTGCCTTGCATAGAACCATGTCTCGCACCACCGCGCGCCGCGCAACCATCAGCGACGAGCGCCCCGAGGAATTGCACACCGACGCAGCATCTGCGCACAGCTCTGCCGAGGAGGATGTTTGCTTCCCTGTTTCCGAGGACCCTGGCAAGACCACCAGGTTTGACTATGAAGAGTTGGAAGAGTTTGTTGCAGAGGCTCAAAGCAAGACACCTATTGGCCAGCCTCTACGCCACAAGGCGAGTGTAGCCTCTCGCCTCTCCGCAAAGCCCAAGGTCTTCTCCGATCTTCGTCCCAAGTCGAGCCAATCCACCACGCCCAAGACGGCAGACGACATTACGAGCCTGAAGGATGTCGACCCTGCGATCCAGGAAAAGCTTGCAGAAGAAGGTCTTTCTCACGTCTTTACCGAGAAGCATGTGCCCGAAGCCAAGGTCAATCGATGGACCTTCTTCTCCTCTGAGATGGATGACACGATTCATGCAGCCGAGCTTGGAGGGCTTCTCATGCCTGGTGAACGCTTCCGCGATCTGTTTGACACACCATCAGATGGCGGCGTCTGGTGGCTCGACATGGTCAACCCAACAGAAGAGGAAGTGTTTGCCATTTCAAAGGCTTTTGGAGTGCATCCTCTTACTCGTGAAGATATTTGCATCCAAGAGCCACGCGAGAAGGTGGAGTTGTTTCACCAGTACTACTTTGTCTCGTTCCGTTCCTTTTTCCAGGCCGACAAGGAGTCTGAGGAATACTTGGAGCCCGTCAACTTCTACGCGGTAGTGTTCAAGGAGGGCATCCTGACATTTACCTTTTGCGAAAGCCCCCACACGCTCAACGTTCGTAAGCGTATCAGTCGGCTCCGTGACTACATCAACCTCAACGCCGACTGGATCTGCTACGCCCTCATCGACGACATTGTGGACAGCTTCGCTCCTGTAATCCGAAGCATCGAAGATGAGGCTGACGCGATTGAGGACCAAGTGTTTATTGCGCGCATAGAGGACTCGCGTGAGATTCTCCGCTCAATTGGCGACTGCCGCAAGCGAGTAATGCAGCTGCTGCGTCTATTGGGAGGCAAGGCAGATGTCATCAAGGGCTTCGCCAAGCGTTGCAACGAATCCTACAGTGTGGCGCCCCGAGGTGACGTGGGCATCTACCTCAGCGATATCCAGGATCACGTCGTCACGATGATGTCCAACTTGGCTCACTTTGAGGAAATGCTCAGCCGCGCGCACTCCAACTACCTGGCGCAGATTTCCGTGGACCAGGTCATCCAGGGCAACGATAGCAACGCTACCCTGCAGAAGGTGACTGTAATTGCAACGATTCTGGTTCCGCTCAACCTGATCTGCGGTCTTTTTGGCATGAACGTCAAGGTGCCAGGACAGGACGGCAGTCTAGCCTGGTTCTTCAGCATCATTGGGGTCATTTGCCTCTTTGTTTCGGTCTGCTTACTTGTAGCGAGGAGGATGCGATACATCTAGTTGCGCGGTTTCCTACTTGCTCCCAGCCGACTTTCAACTGGGCGCGTACACCCTTTATCTGTTTTTGTCTTTCGTCTGTTTGTTTGTTTCTTGCTTTGTGTTTTCATTCAGTATACGACGTGACGAGAGCGCTGGTGTAATGATGGGGTGTTGTCGATAAGCTTGGGTTTCTGCATACATACACATATATGGCATGAGGTGGTCATTCTGGGACTATGTCGGACAGTAACTAGGTTTAGCGATACGAGTATACAATCGGCTAAGAGAAAAAAAAAAGAAGAGATTTTGCCCCCAAAGATGGTCTACCTGCCTGATGTGATGGTTGCTGATGTGGTGTTGACATGGGGGTTGGATCTTCACAAAGGATCTGATGCCGGGGGCTGAATCGGTAATCAGCCACAAGGCTTGACTAGAAGGGGACAGGAAAAGCAAAGCGCATAGATATGCTGGCAGCAACGCAAGCGTCGTAGTGCACGCAGCTGGCATTTGTTGTTTGTTTCATCGACATCGAAAATAGACGGGCAGGGTGGCAGAGGGCAGCACAGAGCACGCAATGGCGTGACAGGCGGCCCAGGCACAGGCTGGTTCCACGTTTCTGCGCATGTTAGGGTTGGGACGAGGCCTGGCGGCGGGCGGTACACTATTGAGCGGCTCAGCATTTGCCAGACACGCCGTCACTCATCACTCGCCATCCATCACGCGGCGCTGGCAGCGAGGAGGCGACTACTGTGTAGGCGATGATTCCGTTCCCTTCTCATTCGTTCCGAGGTCGGAAGTAACATGGCGACTTGGCCGCACCCAGCATGGCACAGGAACCGGCCAGCCGCCAAAGCAAGTGAGCCGAGGAGGGCAAAAAGCCATGTTCTGTGACGTTGGGCGGTCATGAGTCCCCAGGTCATGGTTCCACACGAGGGGCGCTCTGCAGGGTCGCAAGCGGTGAATTAGGCTCGTTCCGAAGGGCTGGCCTGGCGCATCCTTGTTTCGGCGAGAGCATTCCATCATGCAGCGCCTCTCAGCAGACGCCCTCTCCCTTAAAGCCCATAGTCTCACCCTTCCGCCTCTCCGCCCCCATTCCTTTCACTACTTGCCCACTCACTCACTTGCTCTCCATACATATACTCTCCCTGCACCGCACGCTCCCTCCCCCCTCCCACTGCTTGCCCGGACCCCACTACACTGACACGTCGTCTGCCTGCATTGTCACTGTACATCACCCTCGCCAACACCACGCCACAGCATCCGGCAAGGGTTTCGCTCGAAACTACTACTACTACTCAACATGGCGGAAATGGCGCAGCGAATACTCATGAATGAGTTCAAGCAGCTGAGCAAGGAGAAATGGACCAACATTGAGGTGAGTTTGCGAGCGGCGGCTAGCGAAGAGTCACCTGCCGGAGTGGCGACTGCAGAGCACCCAGCTAACCACAGCACAGCTTATCAACGAAAATGTCTTTGAGTGGAGTGTGGCCCTCATTGTTATGAATGAGGAATCCATGTATTACGGCGGCTACTTCAAGGCCAGGATGACATTTCCTCGCAACTACCCACATAGCCCGCCAGGTACGTGGCCGCTCCTCTTTGACGGAGACTGTCGTATGATACGAAGCAAGTGCTAACGGCATATCAGACTTCAAGTTTATCCGACCACTTTACCACCCAAACATTTACCCTGACGGTCGCCTGTGCATCTCCATCCTCCACCCACCTGGCGATGACGAAATGTCCGGCGAGACTGCTGCGGAGCGTTGGTCGCCCGTGCAGCGAGTCGAAACAGTCCTTATTTCCATTCTCTCTCTATTGGACGATGCCGAGGTCTCTTCCCCTGCCAACGTCGACGCAGGTGTCATGTTGCGTAACAAGCCAGCCGAATACAAGGAGATGGTCAAGAAGGATCTTGAATTGTCAAAGCAGGATATCCCAGAGGGTTTCGTCATGCCAACCAACGAGACTGCGTGGAAGAAGGAGAAGGACGAAGGCGACTTTGAAATGAGCTGGGAAGACAGCGATGCTGAGAGCCTTGACTTTGGCGGCAGCGAAAGCGAATTTGACGAGGATCAAGAGATGGACTCTGAGTTTGAGGGCGAAGACGACGATGGCGAGGACGAAGATGAGGAACATGCTCCTTCGAAGCGCTAGGTGTCGGCATTCTGATTGAATTCCGATACCTCTGTTTCACAATCATGCCGTAACGACACAACCAGGGGGCTCTTTGTCATTGCAGCCACACTTGTTCTTCAACCCCAACATGGCTCTCTCGTTATTAGAGACACCCCCGACCTTGCCGCCATGGAATATGGCCGACGTTTGCCTATTAGTGCATACGCATATGGTCTTCTCAGGGCACCTCCTATATTTGCTTCTCACCACTTCTTCAGCGCGTTTATTCTCAGCGAGGCGTTCGGTATTGGCGTGTGTGGTTCCTGGCGCTTGCGTTTTCGAACGGGTTTTACTAGATGCCTATGATTCGGTCACGGTTTCGGGTGGGCATTTTACACTGCATAGGCCTGGGAGTTTTTTTCTTCTTCTTTTTCTTTTTTTCCCAAATCTTTCGATAATACGTTAGTAACTGCGATTTCTCGGGTTTGGCACTTTGTGAGGCGTGCAATTATTTTCACATAGATGGGGGGAGTTTTTTTTTTCCAAAGAACTCGCCTTGGGGCCTTGCATCATTTCCATCTTATATTTTACACACATGATTTATAGTGTTGTTTTTTTTTGGATCGGTTTAATGGTTTACCACCCAATCCCCAAAGCATTCCTCACCCTCACCATCGTCCTCTCAGCAATCTCCTCCGCCCTCCGCGCACCCTCATCAGCATGCCTCACCAACTCCGCCTGATCCCCCCTCATTAACTCCAAATACCTCTCCCTTACCCCACTAATCCCGCCATCCACCGTATCCGCCACTTTCTCCTTCAGCGCCCTCATACTCAAATCCCTGAGATCCCTCGCCAATTCCTCTGGCGACGCCGCCCCACCACCACCATTTGCACCAAAATGCCACAACAAATCCACTAAATTCGAGACTCCAGGCCTCGTCTCGCGATCATAACTCACGCCCTCTACCGAATCCGTCAGCGCGGATTTAATCTTGGCAAAGATGTCGTCTCGGGAGTCGGAAAGTAAGATGCGGGATTTGGGGCGAGGGTCGCTTTTGCTCATTTTCTTGGTGGGGTCCGTGAGGCTCATTATGCGTTTGGCGGGGCTGAGGAGGGTTTGGGGTACTGTTAGGATCGGGGCTCCTACTCCTACTGCTGCTGTTGTTGTTGTTGTGTTTGAGGATGAGGGGGAGGAAGAGTAGACATGGTTGAAGCCAATGGCTAACTCGCGGGTGAATTCGAGGTGCTGGGCTTGGTCTTCGCCGACGGGGACGTGCGTCGTGTTGTAGAGGAGGATGTCGGCGGCTTGGAGGACGGGGTAGGAGAAGAGGCCGAGTTTTAGGGCGTCCTTGTTGTTGGGGGAGGGGTCGAGGGGGGAGGAGTCTGCTGGGAGGGAGAGTTTTGCCTGGGGTAGGATAGTTAGTTTTGTATTTCTTGCTTGACTTTGTATTTATTTTGGGTAGGGAGTTTTCTTAGTAGAAATGTATGTACCTTCCACTGTGTCATGCGGCCTAGATAGCCCATACTGGCACCGCAACTGAGAATCCACATGAGCTCTGCGTGCTGCTTTACGCTGCTCTGTGTGAAGATTATGCATCGCTTTGGGTCGAGTCCTACTGCTAAGAGACTGGCTAGCATCTCTTTGCGCCAGGTCGCCAATTCACGTGCATCTTGCTTGATGGTAATGGCGTGCAAGTCGACAATGGAGAAGAGGAGCGTTGTGTCTGGCGAGACCTCGTCTTGTAGTCGAACCCATTGTCGTAATGCGCCCAGATAATTTCCAAGATGTGGGATGCCTGTGGGTTGGATGCCGGAAAAAATGACTTTCTTCTGGGTCTGTTGCTGGCTCGAGGGCCATGGGAGGGAATACTGGCGCAGACAATTGCTACATGAACGCAGAGGTGAAGGGGCTGCGCGATGCAGCGCACGCAGAGAAAACATTGACGTCGGGTGCTTTCGCACTGAAGCGGAACCCGAGGCCGGGCTGGCGGGCTTGCTCAGCCACGATGGACGAGGTGTACGCCGGCTGCAGCTTTCGTCATTGTGGCACTGCCGCCCGCTCCCATCCAACTCGCCGGCCAACCACAACACCACTGCCACTCTGCTCTGCTCTGTTCTCCTCAACTGCACTGTGTACAAACATACAATCCCCCGACTACACCCACTCCACTTGCACCCAACACACATCTCTAAACCGTCTTCCCGGAACATAGCGGCAACACCACCATCATGTCTTGGACAGGTATTGCAGCCCAACAATGTTTGTTTGATATCATGGCCGCTCACACCGTGCAGGGTTCAAGAAGGGCGTCAATCGCGCAACCACCCAGGTGTTGATGAAGACGGGCCAGGTCGAGCGCACAAATGATCGCGATTTTGAGACTGAGCAGCGGTATGCGCCCTCAACCCCCGCCCGCCGCCGCCGCCTCCTTTACCCCCCCTTCCCAGGCATCCGCCCATGATCACCACCCGCTAACAGCAACATGGCAGACGCTACCGGACCATGGAAACGGCGGCGAACAAGCTGCAAAAGGAAGCAAAGGGTTACCTCGATTCGCTCCGTGCCATGACGGCCTCGCAGATGCGCATTGCCGAAACTATTGACGCCTTTTACGGAGACGCCGGCACCAAGGACGGAGTATCGCGCTCCTACAAGCAAGCTGTTACCGACCTGGACGCCGAGACAATCAAAGCCCTTGATGGTCCCTACCGAACAACGGTCCTCGACCCCATCCAGCGCTTCTGCTCCTATTTCCCCGACATCAACGCCTGCATCACCAAGCGCGAACACAAGCAGATGGACTATGATCGCATGCGCGCCCAAGTCAGGAAGTTGACGGACAAGCCCGACAAGGATGTCACCAAGCTCCCGCGTGCTGAGAAGGACGAGCAACTCGCCAAGGCTGCCTACGACCAACTCAACGACACCCTGACGGCCGAACTGCCACAGCTCATCGACCTGCGAGTACCCTACCTAGACCCAAGTTTCGAGGCGCTAGTCAAGATTCAGTTGAGGTTCTGTGCCGAGGCCTACTCGAGAATGGCACAGGTACAACAGTATCTCGATGCCAACACAAGAGATCAGTATGCTCAGGGTGAGCTGGACGCGCGTGTCGAGGAGGTGCTGCAGGAAATTAGGGACCTCAGTATTGCGGGAACTGTCTAAAGGCTTATGAGAGAAAAAAGACTTGACTTTCTAGTGCATCACGTGCAGTAATTCTTCTTGAAGGCGTTGGGAATGATCCGGTTTGCGGCATTGCTTGGGTTTGAGAGGAAGGGCGATGACCTGGCAAGGCTTCGTACGAGCATTGTTTTCTTTATTTCGTCGAATGCTATTGACTCGATTTCTCACTGACCAAGTTTCTACTCTGCTGGAAATCTAATCTGTGTGACTCTAGATGTTGCCCACCCTGTACCCAAACTTCAACATGTCCCGGTCCTCAATCTCATCTTTCTTTTCTACCAACTCATCAACATCCCAGCTTGCACTCAGCAGCCGTCCATTAAGCCACATGCGCTTCTCACAACTTAACCATACACAGAATGCACCGCATAACCCGACATCATCCGAAAGATCTAAAAGGGTAAAAGTCAGCAAAAAGAACCAACCCCGTCTCTCACCGCAGACAAAGGAGCACAAAAAAAAAACTCACAAGCCCGAAGACTCTCCGGCGTAGCCTCACTCGCCATCTCTGTATTCACCGCCCCAGGATGCACTGCAACCGTCAACACCCCTTCCCCTCTATACTGTCCCGCCAAACGCTCCACCAACCTTCGCCTGCGCAAACTTGGAAAGACAATACGCCTTATTGCCAAACTCGCCCTCTGTCACACACACACACACACACACACGCCGCCATCGATCCCACCGCTATAAACGTCTTCTTACCCGCCTCATTCACTTTTAAGATGGGGATAAAATAAACGAGCAACATGACACTCTCCCGCGTACCCAGAATTTAAGACTACAATGTCTAAACTCGGTAGATGCTTGGTGCCCGAGACGCAGATTCCGTGTATGAAGAGAGGATGCGCTGGGATACGGAGGATAGTTCTGCAGAGGGCGTAGGCGGAGGCTATGCCGGCGCCTCGCGCCGATTATGAGGACTGTGAGGCCTGGGGGGAGTTGGTTGGACGGGTTGCTGGGGGGGATGGTTGGAGCGGCGTGGACATGAGTGGTGCAGGTGAAGGTGCTGGCGAGGATCAAGTCGGGGGGTTGGTTTGGGACATTCTGGGGGTGTGGGTTTGGGGTGATGAATGTATGGGTTCTTATGGTTTTATTATACATTTTGGGGGGGTTTTTCAATGGCTCTTTTCATCTTGGATATGTTGTGAATGCCTTGTTACTAGAACGACTGTCTATGGCAATTGTTGACATGGGTATCTAAAATTACTGCCGTGGTACTATCGTTGTAGGACTATAAACGTTCACCTCACTATTTTTTATTCTTTTTTTGGGCGTGTTTATATGGAATGTAGCTGTGAGACTTCTGTCATGGCAAGATATATGTTGTATTTTATACCCATGCTACTTTTTACATTGCTTCTTGTTTGAATATCTAGTTTTGAACGATAATAACGAATTTCGTCCGACAACCATCTCCATTGTATGAGCCATTCTGAGTCGACTTGTATATAGAATGAGTTGTTTTGTTCCTTTTCTATATTGGATCAAGTGGGTTGGAGAAAATGATGTTCAGGTGAATTGTATTTCTTGACATCCTGAACAACGGCAATATGTTGGAATCATTCTGTGAAACATTTCTACAGACCTCCGACTATCAGCCGAGGATGTCTCGACCTAGCCTAGGCCTGAGATCTCTAGGTTGTCTAACGTTATTCGCTTGTAATTTGTCTGCTGTTTCGGTCGACATCCTCTTTTTAGACTTGAAGTGAAATCCTTGAGTCGTGTGATTGCTTTGGTACACAAGACGAACTATACTTAGCCTTCGCTTCTGATACAAATTCTTACTTTGAGTCGTGAATTCCAGGATAAACCAGGTGACTTGGCCATAGAACAAATTCCATTTTCGGCGGGTTGGGTATTTGATATAATTGATCTCTATATTTTTGTTTGAGCGCAATACGGATGCTCGTCTAGTATATTCGCGAGATAAATATACGACTTTGTAAAATCGACTACTCTCGAAGTGCGAACCACTCCTTGCAGCCCCGATGTCAATAAAACAGACACCCCACTTCACCTGATCTCAGTAAAACCAAGGTGGGACCGCTTTGTATTGATGATGACCTTTTCTGCCGATGCGTGCGCTTGATCGTTATCTGGGAGAATCTTCGAAAGTCACTCTTGGAAACTGCGTAGATCAAGATTCCTAGGGTGGGACGATTAAGTGAGGTAATGTCCTACAGGCGATGATGCGATGGCGTGTGGTCTGGATTCCAAGGCACGCTGAGCTCTGCAAAGGACAAGAATATAGACTCGGTTCTAGCCGCACTAAGTGGATACAAGCATTTCTGTCGTGGCATCTTAGAGTACTGGAACCATCGTCGTATGTCACACGTGATGAGCCAGGGGCGGGAAGCGAAAAGTGCCCAATGCTCGTCCGGTTTGGTGAGGTGGCGAAATGACAACATCGCCGAGCGCCCAGCCACAGTTCCGCCACGCGCTTCAGTTGAACGAGCACTCTAGCACCCTCCTCCCGCCAAGTGCTCCGCTACGGCATTGCGCGCCAAGTTCTCATCTATCAATCTAGAATCCCATCATTCGTCCTCTTGTATCAGCTAAAGAAGCCCAGCATCCGGAAATCCTCGACCCACGTCATACGGTCGTTGCAACACCATCACCCTTTCTTGGCTGCGCCACAGCGTACATCATACCCGATATAGTAGCACGTAGCTAAAGTTCCTCGGAGCCATTGTATAGCTTGGCGTATACCTTAACAGATCATATAAAGACCCTGCGTTGCTGCCCTTGTCCGAAATGTACCTTATCGAATACATACATCGTTCGATACAGATTTCTGAAATTCTCCGTGAACGATACCTACCGCCATGCCTACGCACCACCCCGGAACCGCAGTCGCTCACAGCAAAGGCGAAATCGACACAACCGATCTCCCCTGGGCACTCACAACACACTTACTCGCAATCAACCACCAACAATTTCTCCGCGTCACAAGGCACCCCTTCCTAGAACGCGCCGCCAAGGGCTCTCTGCCTAAGTCTGTGATAGCACAGTGGTTATCAAACGACAGGCAGTACATTGAAGGCTACCTCTCCACACTCAGGAATACTCTCAGTCTCGTTCAAAGCACCTACAAGCCGACAATTGCTCCAGACGCTGAACCTGATATTGAAACACGCCTAATCAAATGGCTAGAGGCTGGCATTCAAAACGGAGAGCGGGAGATTCAATTCTTCCAGGAAGTTGCTGAAATTTACAAGATTGATTACTATCCCTCGCCATTACAAGAAAACCTCAAGTCAGAAGGCCTTCGTCGCTACGAGGCCCTGTTCAATGCTGTTGCATCTCAACAACCTAATTCTTTCATCCCCTGGTTAGAGGGCGCAATTCTACTATGGTCAACTGAGAAGGTCTACTATGAAGCTTGGTCTTGGGCTCGTCGTCAGGATACCCAGTCATCTCCCCGAGGTTACGAAAATGACCTGGATGGCGGCGCCATGCGAAGAGAGTTCATTCCTAATTGGTCTAACCGAGACTTCATGATGTTCGTCGAGCAGCTTGAACGTATCATCAACGAAGGCGTGAGCATCGCAGTAAACCGCGACGACAGGAGGTGGGCAGAGGTGAAGAACAGGGCGGATCCGATATGGAGGGCTTTGTTAGATGCCGAGGAAGCTTTCTGGCCAAACGTACCTAGCGGTGAGGGTAGTCTGATTGAGCCTGGTGTTCAGCGAGGCGTAGATGGCAAGATGGACGAGAACACCCTGCGCAGTACTGGCGACGACGAGATCTTGAACGAGCATCAGGGCGTCCGAGCAGGTGACATTGCCACTATGCGCAGCAACCAGCATGGTGCAGTAGCGACTTGAAGGGGGTTTTCTTTTCGTGTTATTCACATTACAGCGAATAGGAGTTTAATATAGTTTCAAATGCATAGTTGTTTCATTTACCATGCATCGTCAATTCGTGAACCCGAGACACTGAGTGCATCTCTCGTCTCTGTCGATGTTTCCTATTTGTGTGATCGTGCTAAGCTTTCTGATATCGATAGCATCACGTGAGGCTACGTCCCAACCTGCCGCAATCGGGTATCAAAAGAATTGACTTTGTTACCTTAAGTTAATATCTATTCTACCATTACTTATTATACTAGCCTTAGCTTAATATCTACTAATAACTATAAATTGAAAACATCTAGGTAGAGTATAGATTGTTTCCAAGGTATTGCGCCAAAAAGAGAAGTACCTGTACCAGGATATCAGGAGAAGATTGCGCATTATTAAGAGACGGAAAAGCAGTTTTTCACGCATTGAGCGCGCTCTTTCCAACTGGGCAAGAAATCAACAGCGGCAAGGCCTGCTGCTTACAGATGCTATTATTCGGGACAAGGCACGCTTCTTTGCGCAAACCGTTGGAGACAGCGAGGTTCACCATAAGGTGAATAGCAGGAACTGGCTAGAAAGATTCCAGCAAAAAAACAATCTAATAACAGTGAGATGCAGAGAGAGCTCCATTGCAGAGGGGTTGGAAGAAACGTCGAATCCTCCATCGAACATACATACGCCTACAGGCTTTACCGGCTCAGCCAACGACGCTTACCCTTTCGACCGACCACCTTCCAGAGCGTCATCCTACAGTAGCGTTGGCAGCGCCAGTAGCATCGGCAGCATTGAATGATGATAGATAATTAGTAAACCCCTTAGAATCCTAATAAGAAGGATATTCATCTTAGAGCGAGATTAAGGTTATCTTACAACAAAAGATAGTTAGTTGTTGTTTTCCAAATATCACTAAATCTTAAGTTTACATAAGCATTTAATAATAGTTAACTAGAGTGCTACGAAACCTCTCTCCCATAGAGTAAGTACTACGAGCGAACCAAGGAAAAGAATGCTTCTCCGCAGCGGGCCGACAAAAGTTCCGTGGTTGTGGCCTGTGCGTCAAGTAGCTTGGCCTCCGCGAAAATCCACGCGAAAAAGTTCGAGATCAGTGCTTTGCCAATTGCAACACCACCATCCACCACAATAATCGCCATGGCTCTCGTGCAGACCGATCCCGACGCGTATGTGATCAAGCCCGAGGCGGCTGCGCCTGCCATCGACACTAGCGACTGGCCGTTGCTACTCAAGAACTACAGCGACTGTATGCTGCAGCTCCCCATATAGCTACGGTTTACTCTGCTAATGCACATATAGTGCTCGTTCGCACTTCTCATTACACTCCTATTCCCAATGGATGTGCGCCGTTGTCGCGAGACCTCAAGTCGTACATTAGCTCTGGTGTCATCAACCTAGACAAGCCTTCCAACCCATCCTCGCACGAAGTCGTGTCATGGATCAAGCGCATGCTCAGGTAGGAAAATACCGTAATAGCTGTCGCATGCAATTTCAGCTGACACTGCCTAAAGGGTTGAGAAGACTGGCCACAGTGGTACCCTTGACCCCAAGGTCACTGGTTGTCTCATTGTCTGCATTGACCGCGCCACTCGTCTCGTCAAGTCCCAGCAGGGAGCTGGAAAAGAGTATGTGTGCGTCATCCGCCTGCACGACAAGCTGCCTGGTGGCGAGGCGCAGTTTGCGCGCGCTCTCGAGACCCTCACTGGAGCTCTTTTCCAGCGACCTCCACTCATTTCTGCTGTCAAGCGTCAACTCCGTATCCGAACCATCCACGAGAGCAAGCTGTACGAGTTTGACAATGAAAGGCAGCTCGGTGTGTTCTGGGTGAGCTGTGAGGCCGGAACCTACATCCGTACTCTCTGCGTGCACCTGGGTCTCTTGCTCGGTGTCGGCGCCCACATGCAGGAGCTGCGCCGTGTGAGGAGTGGAGCCATGGACGAAACCAAGGATCTTGTCACCCTGCACGACGTTCTTGATGCTCAATGGCTGTACGACAACAACCGCGACGAGGCCTACCTGCGCAAGGTTATCTCTCCTCTCGAGAGTCTCTTGATGAGCTACAAGCGTGTTGTTGTTAAGGACAGCTCGGTTAACGCCATCTGCTATGGTGCTAAGCTCATGTTGCCCGGTCTGTTGCGATTCGAGAAGGGTATCGAGATCCACGAGGAGATTGTCCTCATGACCACCAAGGGTGAGGCTATTGCGCTCGCCTATGCGCAAATGTCGGCTGTAGAGATGTCCACTTGTGATCATGGTGTTGTTGCTAAGATTAAGCGTGTCATCATGGAGCGCGACCTCTACCCCAGGAGATGGGGCATGGGCCCAGTCGCCACTGAGAAGAAGAAGATGAAGGAGGCAGGCACCCTTGACGTAAGAAACCAACTTCTTGACTTGGAAAACTCTATACTAACAAATGCAGAAATTCGGTCGTCCCAACGACAAGACTCCCGCCAAGTGGAACACTGAGTACAAGGATTTTAACAGGACTGATGTCGATGGCGCGTCCGTACCTTTGGCTCAGACCACATCGACTTCCGACGTTCTTGCTGCTCCCCCGGTCGCACCGACTGGAGAGACTGAGGCCGAGGCCGAGGTCAACGGTGCTTCCGATGGAGAGGAGAAGAAGAGCAAGAAGCGAAAGAGCCGAGGCGATGCCGAAGAGGAGGCTGATGAGGACAAAGCTGAACGCAAGCGCAAGAAGAAGGAAGAGAAGGCTGCAAAGAAGGCTGCGAAGAAGGAAAAGAGGAAGAGCAAGGGCGGCGATGACAGCGACTCCGACTAAACGATTAATACGTAACCCATGGACGTCCGAATAGCAACTAGCGTTCCACTGCTGTTGTTTGTGCGAGCGCTGTACACGAAAATCGTATACATGTCATAGCTACTGATACTACTACTCTATCCTTGGATACCAGCTTTCTCACTGTAGCATACGGAAAAAGGCGTTTGGGAATCTGGGCATTTAGGCGTTTGGCGCGTCGAAGCTTCTGCGACAGGGGTGGTCGACTATGTGTTGAAGTGCGAACGTTCACTGCTAAAATATGTTCAATCCATTGTTTCAATTTATCATGCACAATTTTGCTGGGCCTTCATCTGTGATGCTTACGTGACTGCTCCACACCATGCGCATCGCATGTCTAACCTAATCATTGCTGTAAGGATACTGAGTACTCGATTTAGAATTGCACGTAGCATTCGCTGGCTAGCCCGAATCTCGATTGAAGTGCAGGATGCAGTTATCGGTGAAGATTGGATAGCTTAATAGAGTTCTATACGAATACAGCCATCGCATTCTCAAACGATTCTCATGTACGTATATTTATCGGATGCTCTATTTCGGCCCACTTTATATGATTATACATACTACGTATATACTAAACCCAATCACCAGAATCTTGAGCGAATCTGCCAGTCAAGTCCACATGCAGGGGAGATCACAGGGATTATGTCGCAATCCTACCGATGGAATCAGGCAGGAACTTGGGCAAAGACCAGACGTGTCTTTCTAGTAAAAAGCATGTTCATGACGCCTCTATTGCCTTTTACTTTTTCAATGTGCTGTGTTTTTCTTGCTGGGACACGACAAGCAGTACTAGAATGACTGTTTTCCTTTGGATTCCATCGGCATAGGACTCCTCCTGATGGTGGGGCATTGGGCAAACTATACTATAAACAACGTGCGTGTCCTAACCCTTGAATAAACGTCATGTACATTACATGCATCATGGTGCATCGTGATTCTTGAGTTTGAGAAATGCTGGTATACTACTAATTGAGGTAAAAGCGTGGTGTGGTATGTGTGTAGGTCGAGTTGGAAGGGACCGCAGCCGCGCGTTACAGGAGGTGTGATAATTTACTGCCCAAGATATCGGCAATTATGCACGATCCAAATTATTGAGACTGTAATAAGAAATTCAAAGCGCATGGTTTCTGACAATGGTGATTGTGATCGGGGTTTGGGTGAGATATGACAGCGTGATTGAAGCTTCTCGAAGCTTCTCTTTGAGGTTCCGAGTTGCGCGACAGGGCCCGACGTCACCGCTAGCGTCGATTGCCAGGTGGAGAGACGTTCGAAGCTCTTGAGCGATAAAAGCGACGACAACCTCGTCACCACAAAGTACTCCCTACCAAGAAACTAGTCGCGCACACAAAAGATTCCTTCTTCATTACTTATTGCCGGTCAATATGGTCAAGGAGACTAAACTCTACGAAGCACTAGGTACGTTTGCTCAAGCTGCCCCTCCACAGTCATACCTTGCTCGGCAGTCAACTGGGCAGCCTGATCGAGGTCCGCGGATAGACACGTGAGCTTTTGCTAACATTTTGTTACAGGCATATCGGAATCAGCAACGCAAGACGAGATCAAGAAAGCATATCGGAAAGCGGCACTGAAGTGGCATCCCGACAAGAACAAGGACAACCCACAAGCCTCGGAGAAGTTTAAAGGTATGTCACCCACTCATCCCACTATGCAAAAACATACTAACAATACCTCAAGAATGCTCACAGGCTTACGAGATCCTTTCCGACCCCGAGAAGCGTAAGACGTACGATCAGTATGGCCTAGAGTTCCTACTACGCGGCGGCGTACCACAAGAGGATGCCGGGGGCCCTGGAGCCAATCCATTTGCAGGTGCAGGAGGTCCCGGAGGATTTCCATTCACATCATCTGGTGGCATGCCCGGCGGCACACGAACATTCCATTTCTCGACAGGCGGCGGCGGAAACGGCTTCAACTTCTCAAATGCCGACGACATCTTTGGCGAATTCATGCGCAATAGCGCCGGTGGCGGTGGCGGCGGCGATGACTTCGATTTCGGCGGCTTTGGCATGGGCGGAATGCCTGGCGGAATGGGTGGAATGCCTGGTATGGGTGGTATGGGCGGAGGCGCCGGTGGAAAAGGCGGTAGATTCCGAGGCGGCCGACGAGCACCAGAGCCTGAAGTCACAGTCGTCGAGAAGCCACTGGCAGTTAGCTTGGAAGAGCTTTACAACGGTACCACCAAGAAGCTCAAGATCAAGCGCAAGACATACGACCAAAGCACGGGCAAGCAGAGCACTCAAGATCGGATCCTCGAAGTACCGATCAAGAAGGGTTTGAAGCCGGGAAGTAAGATCAAGTTCTCAGACGTTGGCGACCAAGTCGAGGGTGGAACACAGGACTTGCATTTCATTGTTTCTGAGGTAAGCTATATTTGCATCTCCCGTTATCCATTTTGAGAACACGTGCTAACGACTGGATCAGAAACCCCACGCAATGTTTACACGCGAAGGCGATGATATTAAACATGTCATTGAACTCGATCTCAAAGAGGCTCTGACGGGTTGGCGCCGGACTGTACAAACCATCGACGGTAAACAACTCAGCGTCGGCAGTGGCGGTCCCACCGGCCCCAACTGGACAGAAAGATACCCCAACTTGGGTATGCCCAAATCCAAGAAGCCAACAGAGCGCGGAGACTTCATTGTTGGTGTCAAGATCAAGTTCCCCACGAGCTTGACAAGTGCACAGAAGGAGAAGTTGAAGGAAATTCTATAGGGCAGCCGCAATGCCGGCATTTTGATTCTCGTACATCATTTTCCTTTTCTTAATTTTGCTTGGGATTATACAGCTCAGACTGAGCGAGGGGCGCTGGGTGGAGTTTTCATATCTTTTTTACGTCCTGGAGGAAAGCGCCCAGAGAAAATGCATACTGGTGCAGAAATGGGAGGATATATTACGAAGTCACGCGTCTATGATAGACGAATCTATGAATTGCATTCCGATATGCATCTTTTTTTTCTCTCTTTGATTGAGTCTCTCAAGAGTCAGTGTTAGGATGTGTACATTGTTCTCTAACATTGTAAGTGTTCTTGTGTATTTGATTTACTGTGTAAATAAACAATACAGTGTTGCTTCCACAGCTACGCGACATTGATCATCGAACGCGCAGCGAGGGGATGCCCAAGTGTGTGACGTCATGCTTAGCCAAGACTACCCAACCAGCCATCCTAGCCTTGTTTTCCGCCCTAAATCGTACCTCCTCATTGGGAAACTCGTGGTAAAGGTATAGTGATAGTATGGAAATGTATCAGCCCGAATCTTGGAGGACCTACTGACGCTTGAGATGCAACAAGATATCTCTAGGCGCGTCACTACACACTGAGCACTCATCCGCGGAGACTTCAAACTGCCGCCCGTGACACAACATGTGCTGTTGTTTGTGTAAGGATGCGTAATATCAGCAACTCATAATCATACTTTGCGATTGATTCTTATGAAATATGAGGTATCATGTGCTCTGGCTTCAGAGATTCGCTATTGTGGAGGCAGGTGCGTTGTATCATTATTGTTGTGGCACTGACTATGGGACAGTCTTAGTGCAGGCATATCAGCTATCCTGCTTCAATGTTCAACCCATCACTCTTTGATCACATTTTACATTCCAATATGCTATGCTTCCAGCAAGAACTTGCAGATGTTTCCTATCCTGGACTGAAGATCATGTGGGTTGGTACATATGAGACATTCACTTTCGTCACACAAGGGCTGTTTTCCCCTTTACCTGGGGTCGTTTGCATGTCGCCTTTCACCACCGGTTTGCCCCGGAACAATATGATATTCCGACACCTACAAACGGAGTGATACACATATAATCTGCCAAAATACTGAAATTATACCCGACTCACACGAAAGCACAAAACACCCAAAGGATGGCAGATTTCGCACTGCTACCACAGCTAGAGGAGTAAGTTCATGTTTGATAGCGTCTTTACATAAGTACGTACTAAAGCTTTCTAGGGAGGATGACATATGCCTTGACGAGTTGCTTGCGAAGCTGCACAGGAACGTATGTGTGTCACCATCCTTGGTCACCGCCATCGCCAAGCATGCTTCCTCTCTCAGTGAGAGTATTTGCAAGGACTACGACGAATTGAATAAGATCGTTATTCGACACGAAGCGACGATACGGAAGAGGTGGTTGAAGAAGACTCAGGCTCAACGGCGAGATGTTATGCTCAGGGCGTGGCCGAACATGGCAGAAACGCATCGCCCAGACTACACAGAAGTCAATGGTTATCTCAAATACACCAAGTTGTCAAATAACCTAAGAAAATGTTTGGGTACCCATGACAAAGAAACGCCACCTTCAGCATCTCAGATATGGCCCTTCATCAACCTTGAAGATCTTACAAAACCGAAGTCTTTGCTGATATTTCTCAACGCACGTGCTCGGAATGTTCCATTCATGTTTACGCTTACGGAAGAGGCGTTTAGCCCATTGGCAGTCATGTCGATGTGCTCCTACGAGCCCAAGCTAGAACAATACAGCCTACAAATCTCAAGCGAAACAACACCTACGCTTTACGTCAGGATGCAATCTGTCGACAAGGCCGAAGGCCCCGACATCCCGAGCGAAAATGCATCCACTGAATGCCCTCGTCGCGGCATATACCATTTGTTTATTCAACATAAGATCATAGGATTCTTAGCTGCGTGCAGCAAGCTGATCTTGCATGACATGGACCAGGATATGCTGTACTGTAGCGCCATTCAGGAGGAGCCACCGTCATCTGAACTTGACCTACCAAACGACTTGGGATTTACAAACTTTGCTGACACACTCATGGTTGCTCCCTATCGAAACCGAGGGTCGGTCGAGTTCCTCAGATTGCGCGCGTATTTCGACGCTCTATGCACCAATGCAAAGGATCATATCCTAGCACTGCGCGAGGATCCATCTTATTTCGCCGATGCTTTCAAAGATATCTGCGAGCACAGTGCTGAATTGATACGAGACCTTGACGGACATATCGACCCGCGTGTGGATAGCAAGTGTTTCCTGATGTGCAATGCTGCCAAGATGGTCACCAATGCGTACAGCATGTTCTTCTCCTGGGGAGAACTCTATCGGATTACCGACCTCTTATCGAAGACATCTATGCAGGATCAAGGTGCTGATTTTGCTTCTTTGATGGCTGAGTTTAACTGCAGCGTTCGGCGTGTGTCTAAACGCGTATACCGGATACTCGCGTGTGCATCAATGTCGCCTAATGTTCGCAAATTCTACTTTCGGACAAACCGTCACATAGTAATGAAGCTATGGGATATCTGGTCACTTGAGGAGTTTCAGCTGATGTCGTCATTTGAGTGTTTCAATATGGGCGGAGACTGCGAAGACGTCAAGGACGAGGCGCTGTACCTTCTCTTAGATCATGTCACCACGATAATGCGGGAGAAAAAAGCAGCGAGAGACTTGGTATCACCTCGAGTTTCCGAGCTGTTTGCGCAAATGTCCGTCATGGGAGAGTGCGCGATGCAGTTGATGGTGTGGCGCGATACACCACAAGGATCTACCTTTGACATGGATACGCCGCATTCCCACGCCCACTATGCCGATTTCTATGACTGGCTTGACCATCTGAGTCACGATTACATGCCAGTACACGTCGTCAATCCATTCCGAGGAAAACTGGATTACCCTTCCCACAAAGCTCGCAACCCAAAAACTGTCAAAGCCATGCGCGATGCAGAAAAGAACCTCGACAAATTCTGGGAGTATGTCGATAAGTCTTATGAGACAAAGACGGGGATTTCACAGCATGAAGTCATTCGCAAATGCATTGCTGAGGGTGGCCCAATGCAGCGTACACCAGCCTGGGAGGATCATGTGAAGGCAAAGTCAATCCAGCCAGAGCAATTGGAGAGTATCTACCAGCTATTCTCTGAGGTTTCTCATAACAGAGATGCGCAGATCACTGGAGCGTTTGACAAACTTGCGGTAGGAGAGAAGGTCAAACCGAAGACAAAGGGAAGCCTAGAATCCGTGATAGTTGATGTACCTCCGACACACATGGTCGGCACCGCTGATGAAGGAAGTGTCCCGCAGGTTCTCAGGTTGGACAAGCGCGCCCTGAAGGCCATGAAAACGCTTTTCCATGTTCCTCAGTCGGACCATGACGATCTCCCCAAGGGAGTAAAGTGGCATGAGTTCAAGCGGGCCATGGCGCACATTGGATTTGCTGTTGAGAAGCTGCAGGGCTCGGCATGGCAGTTCACGCCCGGTGAGTCGCTTCATGTTCGTCGTGCTATTCAATTTCACGAGCCACATCCAGTCAGTGACATCACGTACATCATGGCAAAGCGATTTGGGAGGAGGCTTGAGAGGGTGTATGGTTCGAACGGCGCTAGTTTCCGACCCGCTTGAATGAAGAGAGTTTGAAAGGTTTGGAGTCACTGATTGGTTGGAGTTTTTGAGGTTTTGAGCATTTCGGGTAGTATGGTGAAGGATTTGGTAATGTTTAAATGAATCTTACGGAAAGAAGAAAAGTTGTTTATGGTGAAGGAAGAGCGCTTAATACACGTTGGATAAAGGAATTTAAGTTTCTTGGCTTGAATAAGCTTCGTAAGTATTGAGCTCCGTTGCTTTGCTAGCGCAGGTACTCCATGATGAGTTTGCATATAAAATAATTGAGGTAATTCAATTCAATTCATTCTACTTCTTTCAAAGTCAACCCAACCTCCCAGGATACATCAAACCCATGGACGCAACACTACTCGCATCACTCTCCAAAAAACACCTACTGGGAGCATTCAGCGCAATCGGCGACACCCTTGCCGTCGCCTCCCTCGACAACCGCCACTCAGGCGGAACATTATGCTGCAAAACCTCGACCTCAGACACGACGCCACCCACCTTCTTCTGCGCCTCGACATCCGTCTGAATCCCCAACTGGGGCGTCGTATCCCTCGAGCCCCTCTGAATAATCCTCACAATCTGACTCAGGACCCCAAACTCAATCTTCAGCTTAAAACTATACAACAGCGACTTGAACGTCGTTTGTATCATGTACAAGTTGAGGAACTCCATGGTGAGCAGCGTAGCGTCGAGGAAGACTAAGAGCAAGTTCATAGCAACGAGCTGCCATATCCACTTGCGCGTCTTGCCGTCGAAAATAACGAGCATGAGTTTGCGCGTTTCGCACAGGTAGACGCAGGATATAGAGATTTCCTGGAGGGTGAAGAGTACCATTTGGATCTTCTCCATGATGCTGTAGCCGCGCGTGTAGATGGTGGGGTTCTTGGTCGTGTATTGCCCGAGGTTGAGGGTGACGGTGGGGACGCAGAGGCAGATGGCGGAGAGGATTATGGTCCAGAAGATTAGGCGGAGGAGATGCAGGTTTGGTGAGATGAGGTGCAGCCGGGAGTACAGGACCATGGATTGGCCGGGGACCATGAGGACCCAGCCGACGGTGAGGAGGACGTTGTAGAGGTCGGCGTTGTGGCCGACGTTGTTTTGTTTCATCCATGCGCCTGGAGTTGGGGAAGAAGAAAAAAAATAGTATGTTAGTTTACTTTTCGCTTCTTTAAAGCTACTTTGTACTAGTATCGGAATGGATGGCTTACCTGTTGCATAAGGCACGATACTCAGTGCGTTGATGATTAGACTCCAAAAGTACAACCCAGAGTATTTCTTGAAAATACAAAATATGAGGACTAGAAGTTCGAGCGAATTGTACCATGCGATTGCTGTAAAGGCAGTCATTGCCCGTGGCAGCACTCGGTTAGCACCATAAATGTCGAAATTAGCTCCTGTGATGCCATTGCCGTGCCATGTGACGTTCGCCATTTTCCCTACTACTATGTCATGAACTAACGTGAGAGATGAGATGTGCAAAACGCTGTGTTACCACAATGCATACCATATTTACATACTATATGTCCAACATGAGTTGAATAGGGTATCAAGCCATGAGCGAGGTAATCGTGTGTCAGCAACGAGTTTTGTTAATAATTGGGTAGCTTGGGGGCCATGGGGCTTGATTGGCGGGCGTGTGACTAGTTTTCTGTAGCAAGGCGAGAAGCGAGCGTAAGTCGGACTACGCGAATAGATCGTAACGCTATACTTAGAAGCTTGACAAGCTATTCTCCGATAGCAAGATGAGATAAGCTTTTGCCAAGTCCCGTTAGGACGACCGGGAAACAAGCGTACGGTACGGAGATGCACGTCTTGAAAGAATGCGTCATGTACTCTGGGTTCAGCTGCCTTACTAGGAATGGCTCGCAGTATGGGACTAGTTGTGTACCTCTCCGTAAACAGTTAACGGATGTCAGTATGGACACATTGTTCGGAAACTTCCGTATTATAAGGATTCATTCATAAGGCTGCTATGCGATTAAGATATCAATCTATGCTAAAAGCTAGAAGATGGCCACATGGTTAATTTTAGAACAGTTTCCACATGCATATATCAGGAAATCGAACGTTAGATTGACAGAACGCCTTGCATGCTATGCTAGTGCATTGTCCAAACTGAACAAAGTCATTCAAAATCAATGTGTTAGTTTTCTGCATGACCTGTGGGGCCTTGGTCTGTGTCTGCAAGGCATTGTTAGCAAAATGTGCCGAAGAAGACGTTTATCTACATGGGTACTCACAATCCATTGTAACAAAGGCACGGTCTACCTCCTTCAACCCCTCAAGACAATACTGCAGGGTTTCTGCAATGTCATGACAGGTCCTCAACGGTGTGTTCTCTTTCATGAGTACATCAATCTCTACGCAGACGCCGTCACCAGCATGGTAGACCTTGATGCTCTTGAAACCTTGAACAAGTGGTGCAAAGCGGTACGCCATGAACATCATCTTGCGCTCTGTGCGGGTATCGGCAGCCTCTCCGGTAAGACGAGCAACGTTTTCAAGACAGGTGCATGCCCAGTCGTAGATGATGTACAGGGAAAGGCAAGCAGCACCGACAGGATCGAGCCACCAGACATTGACCTGGGCACCAATAAGGGGAAACAGAAGCGACAAGGTATTAAAATAAACATCTGTTCGGGTTAGCCCTGTAACGTTTTGAGTATGCATGAGTGAAGTTACCTGTCTTGCAATCCTGCGCGAGTGCCTGCACTTGTGTTGTCTTGACCCTGGCGCATCCGATCCAAATTGTTCCCTTGACAACAATTGTGGATACCATTGCGAATATGGCTGCAGGTGGGAGCATGGCTACGCTGTGGTCGCCACTAGGCAGCAGCTTCTTTACCGACTCTTGGAGGATTTGGAGAAACGAAATCACCATGATGATGGAGAAGACGAGGATGCCAATGGGCTCAAAGCGCTTGCGACCGATGGGGAATCTTTTCTTCAGGGCCTGCAGACGCCAGCCCACCAGCTTGTTCGTAGTCCAGATGATGATTGTGCAAAGCAGGTCGAGGGCGGAGTCAACGAGGGACGCGATCAAGGATAGTGAGTTTGACCAGATGGCTGCGACGCCCTTGGCAGCGAGAAGGAGAATGTTGACTAGGACATTGATCTAGGATATTATGAGTCTCGAGTTGGACGACTTGCGACTTGGAACTCACATTGATGGCCCATTTCACATGCTTGGCTGCCTTTCGCCGTTTCTCACGCTCGTCTTCGGGTAGGAATGGTTCCAGATCTTCCCCGCTGAGACCCAAGGGCCCTCTGTCCTCGGCTACACCGTCGTGATCAGTGTCGCGAGGGTTCATACTGTCAACAATATCGTCGGCGAGCGAGGTCACAACCATGTCTACCTCAGCCCAGTCGTCGATGCGTTCGTTTTGTTCCTCGTAGAATTTGCGTACTTCCTTATTCTTTATGCTTTTGAGCTATAGTGAGAATGTCAGCACCCGGTGTGATCAAATGGAGCTGTCAACATACGCTCTCTTCACTTTTCCTGTATACTTCAAGCGCATCGTGGTCGATGTTATCGATCAGCTTGCGCTTCAGGCCATTCGCGTGGTTGTCCCTCAACGTCTGCTCGATAGCATCGCGAAACCGCTGCCTCGGCTTGATCTTGTTGGTAGCTCCATATCCGCTTTCTAGGTCGACACGCTGGTACTTTGTGAATTGTTCGGGATCGCCGTAACTGTTGATGTTGCCCTTGGTGTTGCCGGTGCTGAGAAGTCTGTGTCTACCTCCAACCATGACTGAATACTAGTAGAGGGTTTTAGAGTTTGCGAAGTAGTCCCGATTGCTGAACAACAGGAGGGGCAGAATGCAGAGGGAAGTTGAGGGTGTGGTCGAGTATGGTTGAGAAAAGAAAGCACACGAGGAGGAAGACGCGACGCGCAGTCAACCAAGGCGGGCACACGAGGCCGGAGACTTTAGAGGGGAGGATGCATGATAGCGTGTGCGAGCGCATCATCGTCAGCAGTAGCCACGCGGAAAAGGACCGTGTGCGTGCGAGAATGTGCCATTCTTGGTGGAGCTTGTGCAGGCTTGCATTCAACGCGCAAGAGGAGAAGCCATGAATGACATCATCATCCTTGGCAGGCACCAACCGCAGCCATGCCATCGCGCTCCACCATCGACTGGTCAGTACGGGAACTGACGTCAGCCCACCTCGATTTCCACACACGTTTCGCATTAACTCTACCCTGTCAAAGTCTCTTTTCATTGTCAACCCACGATCCACTGTGCCGGTTACCCGAAAGCCAGCAATCAGCCATTCGGGACACCTTCCTCCCGCCACTCCCGTAACCCACCCATGTTCCCACCATGTCCGCTCGTCATTCTGCCAGGCAGTAGTAAGCCTTACTACTTAGACCCTGTGGCCCGCAACCTCTCCAAGACTTTGCAACTTCTTATAGACGTGCACACGGACTTTATATCTCTACTACAACCACATCGTAGAGTAACATCACATGACCTCGAGCCGGCCAAGACGTGATAAGCCCGCCGGTACTTTCATCGACTGCTTTACATAAGCAAGGCCACGCCACAATATCTCCATGTTGCCCCGAGCCGACGCCTTTAGCTGCAAAAGGAGAGGCGAAGCTCGCCAAATCACTTCCCATGCTTCCGGCAGCACACCACATCACAAGCTATAACCCGCCCATGTGTCCTTTTGCATCGTGAGCTTCCCACCTCCAACCCACTCGCCATGGCACCCCCAACAGCCCAGCATCGCCGCAACGGCGATGGCAAAGTCTTATTCCTCTATGCCATCATCGCTCTGATAGGCCTCTACGCCATGCGCATCGTGACCTCCATGAACAATAACCCTGTTGGCTTCATGGACATGTTCGAGTCTCGCACGCTGCCTGATGGCACCCCTATCAAGACTGATTATACTGGCATTAAGCTCATCGACACACCCTTGGCTTTCTTAGTATCCGCATTTATGTTCGGTCCCATGCGAGTCAACGAGGCCTATTACTGGCAGCAAATCCACTTTTTGCCACAACTCGCGCCCATCATAGCAGTTATGAATGTTGAGGCTTGTCGACATGGGAACCGGGGTAAATGGCTGACATAGTGAGTTGCGCATGGGACAAGCGGTATTCAACCGGATATCGCAGAATACTACTGTCCTGTTACTAACAATTCACAGTACTTCCATTTTCGCATTCTTGTACCAAAATATCGCAGGCTGTTTCGTCATCACCATTTGGTGGATGTTATTCCACTACCAAACAAGTCCCAGGTCTTACTATCAAACCGGACGCACGGTACCGCTGCCATATGCTCGGGTCATGTTACCAGCAATGGTATTTCTATACATCGTCCCCACTATTGCCATTTGGTACCCCGCAGACAAAAGCATCTCCACACTGCAATCCGTCTTGGCGTTCTGGCAATTGTCCCCCATATTCGTCAATATCCCGCTCTGGCTCGTCTCCCTTACCAGCTCACTAAACACAACCAACCAAAAGAAAAACGCCGACGTCTTTCATCTGAGAATCTTGTACGCGGTTATGTTCTTCTTCTCAGTGGCAGTGCACTGGTACAGCATCTACGGAATCTCCGTCTCCGAACATCCTGATGCAACTTACGCCCGCGTCTTCGTCCCTAGCACCTACACCTGGAGCAAGGATATCCCTTGGGGCCTGCTGTGGGTCTTCCAATGGGATTGGATTATCATTGGCCTTATGTATATTATCCCTGCTTGGGTCGCAGTGTGCGATGTCCAGCGGATGAAGAAGGGCAAAGCTTCGTTAGAAAACGTCTTTGAAAGTATTCTTATGATCATGACGATTGCCATTGGCGGTGGTCCAGGGGCTGCCCTCTCAGCAGTTTGGTTCTGGAGGGAGGGTAATCTGGCCTCGATTGAGAGTGCATCGGCAGTGAAGAAGGGGCAGTAAATGACTAGTGTAGCAGAAATGCTTTATGGACAAAGGGGCGACATGGACCACAGGTGTATTAGGAGATACAAAGACCTTGAAAAGTCATCCAGAGTAATCTCATGGTTCCTGGATCATATTGGAATTGCTTCAACTCTGTGATAAACACTGTTCATACTCTTTCTAGAATCGGCGCAAAAACATCTCTGACATCCTTCGATAACGGCGACTCCAGTATCTTGTCCCAGTCATCCTGCAATACACTCTCCAACACACCAACCCCAATATCCACCAGCTTCTGCGTGCCAGCCGCATCCGCCCATTCCACACGCGTAGGCCAGAACGCCACATGCACCGCCCAATGCACCACCAGCCTCCTTAGCCACACCTTGCCCAACACCTCACCACCCTTCCTCTCAGCCATGTACGCGCGCAAAAACGCCACCAGTAAACCCCTCCCCCCTCGAAACCGATCAAGCAAGAACGCCTCCGCGGCAAACTGTCCAACGTCCGTTGCACTGGTACCTCTACGCACCATTTCCCAATCCACAATCGTCAGACTGGGCGGTTGCGTCTCGCTCATACGTACGAGCACGTTGCCAGGCCAGAAGTCGCCGTGGCACACGCACTCATCGTCTGTAGCGAGTAGACTGCCAAAGTCCTCGTTAATGCGGTGCGCGAGTTGGGTGTCGTAGCCAAATTGCTCGAGGGCGAGGTACAAGTTACGGTAGGAATGGCGGTATATGGCGACGCCGATGGGATTGTTTCTTGCACTGCTGTCTTGATCTTCGAGTGCGAGAGAGGTGTTGGTGGAGGAGTTGTGTAGGGCTGCGAGCCAGGTTGCGAGGTGCTGGCCGATTTGGGGGATGTTGAGGTCTGGGGAGGTGTATGCGTCTTTGAGGTTGCGGGTTCCGCCGTCTTCGATTTCGAGGAGCTTGTTTTCTTTGTTGTAGTTTAGGAGGTGGACGGCGTGTACGGTTGTGCTTGGTGAGTTGGTAAAGAAGGGGTTGCTTTTGGAGGAGAGTTGAGTGAGGATGTTGGCTTCGTAGTCCATTCGCGTGGGGTCAAAGGCAAAGTTCTTGTTGCTGTGGAGGTATGGTGCGGCATGCTTGAATATACTTGCAGATCCATCTTGTTTGGTGCACCGGTATACGTAGTTTGCGGTCCCGCCCGAAAGTAACTTTACGCTGGTGTGTGCTGACTGGGTCGTAGCAAGAAAGTCGCTGAGCCCTTGCTCCGTTGTGAGATCATGCGGCGATGTCATGTTGTTCCTGATTGTGAGATGAACAATATGCTCATGGGTCTCCTAGGAAGATTCGTAGTCCATCTAACGGTTATTTAGAGAGGGAATAAATAGCCTGAGTTATGGTTGCAATCACGCCCAGTTACAAGATTGCACTAACCTGCCTTTCGGCCTCGCATACAATTCTCAGAATGCAATCAGTATGATTGCACATGAGTCATTTGCCAAGCTGCGCTGGATCACCAGCGTTCGTAGGTATTGTGCAGGAACCAACGTGGGGCAGCTCGTCCCAACTCAGATTAGCTCCATCCGATCTTAGAGCACGTATTTATCATACGTATTCGCATGATTCCTCTCATAGATATGGACTAGCCATGACAAAAAAACCTGCAAAGTTCTAGGAATTCCGTCAGATTTCAGCTCAGAATGTATTTCATTTCCCTCTCATTGTAGCGAGTAAGATGCGTGCACGTGTTGGGTATCCCCTTCTCGGTTGACCGGTTTATTACATGTTACACAAGCCTCAGCCTTGTCATGTAATGGTTTACGCCTCACTCAGAGTACTGGCTTATAGGTAACCTCGCACAGTCTTCTCGTCTCATCAATCTTCACTCGTTAAGGCGACCCATTTTGCAGTTTCAGTGCCACAATAACTACCTCCAGCGATGAGCTAGTTGGAAAGCTCAGTGCTATGGCTATTGCGGGGGATGAAAATCAGGAACTTGCTGATAGAAGTGTCCCCTTGGTAGACAACTATATTGATCTACCAGAGGAAGATCCCCAGGAGTCCGTTCAACATGCCAACGTCGTAAGCTTCTGTGACCGAGCTACCGAAGGTGTATATGGTAAGTTGAAGGATTTCATTAACTGACTTGTATATGAGAGCCTTCTGCGTTGAGCGGCGCTACAATATACGAAGGAGAACGTATAGGTAGATTCTAGTGAATTTCTGACGATCATAGAATTTATCAAAAACGCCATCATTGGATATTCCAAAACGATCAAATCTCCCGATGAGCAATCCCTCATCCATCATTTTCTCCGATTCTTCGACGAAGAGATCCAAAAGATTATTCAGAATAATGTTCATGCCGCTGGAGATAATGCATTATCATGGAAAGTGGCAGATGAATGCTACAAAGAAGCCATCAGCCCTTCGGGTATTCTCAACGCTGATCGCTATTTCAACGATGTCAAGAATTCCCTACCAAGACGGCGTGCTGATTCTGTTTCTGGAAACCAAGACCATGTTTTCAATAATAAAAGAAAACGAGAATGGATAGATTCTTGGGTCACAATCCTGAACCGCGCACCTAGTGGACTTACACTGTTCTATCCTCGAACGAGTAACGATATCGATCTCACCAACCCAAAAACTATCCCGCCTTACCTGTTTCGAGTTTTTGACATGAAAAGCTCTGGAAACAACGATGAAGAAGTCATGGCATCTTCCATACATGCCTCTCAAGTCCGAACAAGTGGCGTCAATGACTTACTGGGTATGGAGGACGTGAAGGCGACAAGATTGCTGTCTTACCATATTGATCATAAGTGGCGTCGCAAGTATGACGACCAAGATAACTTGGTGTCTTGAACTAGCTCACTGCTTTATGCTGTCCAATATGCAACATATAGAAAACATCACCTAAGACTCAAAAATGCCGACATCAATATATGTATGGTACAAACCAGCCAGTTTCCCCAACGACAATTTGTCCGGGACATCGAGTTGCTCAAAAAATATCTTCCCATTGCCAAAGATTTGGAAGAAGAAGTAGAGAAAGGTTTCCGTCGCCGTCTGTATCAGCCAGATTTCTACAATGGCGAGTACTTCTCGCAGGGAGTATTGAACCATGCAGGCCGATCGTGTGTAGTTTCTCTAGAGCAACTGGAAGATGCCGGTATCTTCAAATTGTACCCGGCATTAGAGAATCCTAGAGACGACTATGGTGTTATTCGAAACGCATTAAAAGTACTCGGTCTACGTCGAGAGTGGTCTAATGAGCAGACAACAACCGAAAATGACGTCCCAGATGCGCTTTCCATTGCACGGAAGTGCTTCCCTGGTTTTAACGAATACGATGTAGCTTGCATTCTATTAGCTTTCAAGCACCGCGAACTATCAGGTAAGTAGCAACGTCGGCTCTTCTTACTTGTTCTTCGAGAAAGAATGCAATCTAACAAGCAAAGACGGACTTGAGCTTACCACCAATCGGGCCCCATCGTGGGCCAACAAGCTAGTTGAAGTCAATCGGTATTGGCAGATATTGGAGACACGGAGGCATTTGAGAGAAGATCTAGGGCGCGAGGTGTATCTGCAACACGACATTTACAAGGTGACGGGTCGTAGTTCGCCGGAGCTGGTGACTTTTCTTGATGACTACGTGTAGGAATAGTGTGCTCCATAGTAAATGAGCTCTTGAAACTTTATACCCACAGTGTATCATTTCTAGTATCTTGTTGGAATTGTGATTGGATTTTAGCCCTGAGTAGGTAGGATAGGAATGAATGTTGCATTACAAAACTCTTGCTACCGGCGTTCAATCTGCAAACGAATCTTTGCCATAACAGAACAGAAAATGATTTAATGTTTCCGGAAACAATCGTGAATATTTCTGTTCAAAAGAATTTCATTGTGAGAATGACTCAATATATGTTAGAAAATTCTATATGCTAATCCGTTCCCTGTCAACAGTCACATCTCAATGCTTCCTCATCCACAATACTGCCCAGCCAAACAACCTATAAACAACAACGATAACAAGCATGTAACTCACATACTTTCCCATGTCCCCCGTCTCAAACCCATATACACTCAACACCGCCTTGCCCTCAACCAAACACTGATCCTGTAGTGCACTAGGAAACATGCACTGACACCCTCCATCCACCAACCGCTCACACTCGAAATTCCTCTTCCCAAACTCATTGACCATCATGCCTCGAAACACGTATGCCTGATAATCAATATAATGAAAAACATACCGCCAAAACACATTCAGCGTCTCCGGCTGGACCATAAACCCATTAACACACATCCACAAACCATTCGCAAACGCCGTCGCCGCCAGCGCAACCACGAAAATCGGTATAAGCGACGACAGCAACACAACCAGCGACTCTGCCGCCAGCAAATCGAGAAAAAGCCACAGAACCCACACCCAGAACCCCTCAGCCGTCGGTCGAAAGTTACCCAGCCAATAACTTATCACACTAAATAGTATGGTAATAAGAAACAAATACGGCACTCCCACTACGAAATTCGCAATCATAAACGACGTAGGCCCATACAACCCGTTTGCGCGTTCCTTGGTATAAATGGCGAGATCCTCGAGGTACGCAGGGATATACGCGACGGCCATGAAGGACATGAAAGCGCCGCCGAAGAAGATGGCGTTGGTAAAGGATTGGATGTTGGATTGCGTGGGGGAAAGACGCAGCCAGACTGTTCCCATCATTATAGCGAGGCCCATGTACATGGCGATGCGCAGGCCGTAGGCGACGATGTCGCGGTGGGATTTTATGAAGGAGCGGTGGATCAGGGTGAGGGGGATGAGGCTTGGGTTGGCGGTTTGGTGCGTGGCGAGCATTGTAGAGAGGGGTGGGGAGGGGGGCTGTGAGGTGATTTTGGAGGTCAAGGCGGTTGCGGCGGGGGAGATGGCCCAGGAGGTGTGGAGGTGGGTTAGGCGTTGGGATGCGGCGGTGGTGTCGGTGGAGAAGTCGGTGTTTACGAGGTCGATGACGAATTCGGCGGGGTTGGTGTAGAGGGGCATCTAGTGGGTGCTCGTGTTAGCTTTCTTATTCTCTTTCCAATGGGTGGTCCTGAGGGTGACTTTGTTGTACTTACTTGATATCCCAGTCTAGAGAAGTACTCTCCAACCTCCTTTACTGCACCATTGTATACTACTTTCCCCCTGCTCAGCAACATGAGTTTATCAAAGAGCTCGAATGTTGTCGTCGAGGGTTGATGGATAGAAGCAATGACAAGCACACCGTGCTTCTTCGCAATGTTCCTAACGAAGTTCATGACTTCGTAACTAGCCGCAGAGTCTAGTCCGCTGGTAGGTTCGTCGAGGAACAGAATCCTTGGGCTTGTGATGAGTTGGCTGGCCACGCTTACACGACGCTTTTGGCCGCCAGATACGCCTTTTCGGATTGGCGTTCCGATCAAGGCGTCAGCTTGATTCTGGAGACCAAAGGAAGACAGGAGGCTGGATATGCGTGCCTTTCGTGCTGCTTTGCTTATTGAACTATCGAATTGAGCGTCAGTGAAAAGCACTAAGAGTATATGGTACAATTGAAGACCTACCTGGGCAGTGCAAGCTCAGCTGCAAAGTATAATGTCTCCCTGACGGTAAGAGAACCGACAAGTGCATCTTCCTGTTCCACATAGCTACTCAGTTTCCTAAACGTAGCCAATGTCGTCGGCTCCCCATTAATCTTCAGATCCTGACGGATAGTCGCCTTTGGCATGGCCGCCCGATGAGCAAGTACATTGAGCAGTGTCGTTTTTCCCGAGCCACTGGGTCCCATGAGAGCGAGCATCTCTCCTGCCTCCAGGACACCGCTAACATTGGCCAGGATATCCAGCGGTTGTTTCGAAGCACGATCCTTGACAGTAACAGTGACATCCTGCCAGCTAAAACTCTGCACGACATCATTGGTAAGATGAGCAAAGTCCGCGGTATGATTTCCCTTTTCCACATCAGGGGCTTCGCCTGTAGATGACATGGCGAAAGTCGTGTAGTGTTTCTCCTAGAAATACCTCGATAATACTCAAAAGAAATAATAATAGGAATAGTAATGAGTATCGTAGGACCAACACAAGGAAATCTGACTAAAAAGATATTAATTTAACAGACAACCCCCCCTCCATCCACCATATATATTATCATCACTCAGCCTCACACCCTCACATTTAAGGCCCCCAAACCCCCATCCATCTCCACTCCCGCATACGTATTTAATATCGGCGAGTAAACTCTTCCACCCAAACCACCTTACCTAAAAGAACTATCCGCCTGAAATAACACACCCTAGCGCAGTCCCCGACGGACCCTTCGCAACGTCAAACCCCATTTCCACAAGGCAGATGAATCCAGATGCTTTCCTGATTGAGAAGAAAGTGGAGGGGCGCACGTATCTACTATTACACTACACCATGCTGTGTTACGCTACACTATGCTACACATGGCTAAGCGCAGTGTAAATGCGAGGAAGGATGGCAGCTGAAAAAACAAGCGCGATACTTCTAGTAAGCAATGGCCAAGCGCACATGTGCGGTGTGTGTGTGTGGGTGGGTGCCCGAGGTGAGATTTGTGGATGAAGGATGATGGGGGTGTAAGACGGAGAGTTTTGATCCATTGATTGGAGGAGACATAAGGCTGAAGTCGCCGTTTGGACAACTCAAAGATACGAGCGCCATTTTCTGCGATGACTGGTAGTCGAGACGAGTCGCGAAAGACTACGTAGTACGTACAAATAAGGCTGACCGAAAAAACAAACCGACGATTGTACGAAACGTCCCTGCATCGAACAAAACGAAGAAACAAGGGTCAGTCCGACCGAGATCCATCTGTCCACGCTAATCAGGCTGTGAGAATAGTAGTAGTAGGCAAATCTCAGCTCTCTCGGCGTTCTTACGCTGGCAGCTCAAGGTCCCCGGACCCCAGGCTAAAAAACGTCGGCGAGGTATTCCTTCAACCACAAACCGGGCCGTGCGCCGAACGAAACCTCGCCGACGTTTATTTTTTTTATGTAGCACAGGCGAATGAAGCGGCAGCATGATTGCGGCACTGGCTAACTTGCCGAAAAAAGAGGGACGTTAAATGGTGTAAGCCGTGCAAGCAATAGACGGCGACAGATCTTGAAGACGCCGAGGGGCACAAACGAATAAGGCTGAGGAAGTTATTTACAATTCATGCAATCCTACGCTACTACAATCTCTCACATTAACGTATCAAAAGCCACAATCCTTCTCTGACTAACGTGCTCGCCGTTTAATACATGAACTCGCTGAGCTCCAGTAGCTGCGCATCCAGCGATCGTTTAGCTTGCACGCTAGCCTCTCTGTTCTCGGCGTTCAGCCTCTCTTCATATGTCATTTGGAGCAGTTTCTTGACGTCTTCCTCTCCGAACCTCTCGCCGGGGACACCGAAGCCCTTGCCGTACTGTCTTGCTCTCGCGACAATGGCCTCGGGGCCTGCGGTGAACAAGTCGAAGAAGAGTGCGGCGTAAGGAAGTGTCGCGCCGTCCTCGATGTTCTTCAGGTTCTGCTGCAGAACAAGAATGTTGAGTTGCATGAGTGCGCAGCCGTTGGTGTTCATGCGCTCGATCTTGGAGGTGCAGAGAGTGAAGAGGTATCTATCCATCAACGACGCCAAGCCACGCGTGATGTGACTATATGAGGCTGCGGGGATATATGTTGAGACTTCTGTATCGAAAGACACAAGAGTTGAGTTAAGAGTGAGGATTGTTGGGTCGGGATCGTTGAGAAGAGTGTCGATGTAAATGTTTGGTTGTATGCTTGCGTCGAGTGAGTACAGTATTGTACTGCGAATCGCAAGATGCAATGTGCGCAAGGCACGAGTAGAGAGTGACCGATACGTCACTACTACTGCATCGAAGATACTACTCAGAGTAAGTTTGTATTTTGTCAGTGAAGATGTGTGGCACTTACGCAGCAGTTTCTGTACTCAACGGCAGATACACAGGAGCACCTTGGGGTCTTGGGTCAGAAGACGCAAGCTTGGTCCATCGCCTGTTGTGCTTCTGACCATTGGTCTCTATGTTGACTGGAGCCGAGGCACGATCACTAATGTACCTTAGCTGGGCCGTCTTAGTAGCCAGCCACTTCATGCTAGTGTACAACAGGCACAAGTTGATAATGCTCTTCTTGTCTTGGATCATATCAGCCTGGTCCAAGGGTTCATCTGCTTCTACTGCTTCAATGAGAAGGGCGACCTCGCTCTCGATAGCATCGTTGAGGTTGGCGTGGTCAGAAGAATCTATTCGCTCCAGACGGGCAATGAGTTCTTCCATGGCATCCGACTCGGCCCATACAGCTGGTGCTTTCATAAGACGACCGCTGGGTGTGGGTTTTGAGCGGCCGACCAGGGCTTTGTACCATCCTATGCACTTTTGGGCATACGTATCCATCTGATTGACAATGAGTTGAGAGAATGCTTGATCGTGCGGAAGGTTATCAAGCATTTTGCAGAATGCTGTGATGAGAGAGAAGAATTGCGCGGTGCCCTACAGAATTAGCTTTAGTGGAATAATTGTTGAATTGATACATACTTTGAATATGGGCTTCTTGGAGTGTCTTGCCCATTGTGGGTCTTCAGCAAAGGCGTCAAGCTCGACGAATGTTTGTGCACAGAGCTCAATC